TGGGGCTGTGCCCCGCCCCGGGGGCGGGCGGAGGAGCACGTGGGGCCAGCCGGGCCGGGCTGAGGCAGTGCCCGCCCCGAGCCCCGCACCGGAGCCSARCGGAGCCCAGCGGAGYCGCTCGCCGGGGAGCGCACGGCGCGGCTCGGGACGCAACATGAGCGCGGCCAGGTCCTTGCGAGTGCTGCTCGCCGTGTCCGTGGGGCTCTCGCTGCTGCTGRTCGTGTCCAGTGAGTGCCGGGGAGACGGGGTGCCGGGGAACCGGGGATCGGGAGTGCCGGGGAACCGGGGGTTTGGGTGCCGGGGAGACGGGATTCCGGGGAGCTGGGTGCCGGGATCCGAGTTGCAGGGGATCCGGGGTGCAGGGAAACCTGGGTGCCAGGCAGGCTGGAATGCTGGAGATCCGGAGTGGTGGGGATTTGGAGTGCAGGGTTGTCCGGTGCGCAGGGATTCCGGGGTGCGGGGCAGTCCGAGGTGTAGGGGAGCCAGAGTGCGGAGAATCTGGAGTGCGGGGTTGTCTGGTGTGCAGGGGAATGTGAGGTTCAGGGGATCCGGAATACAGGGGAGCCCGGAATGCTGGGGATCCGGAGTAGGGGGCATCGCGGGTGCAGGGGGTGTCCGGGGTGCAGGGCTTGTCGGGGGTGTAGGGGAACCCGAGATGCCGGGGATCTGCGGTGGTGGGAATCCAGAATGTAGAAGGAAGGATCTGGGGTGCAGGGTGAGTGGGTCCAAGCTTCTGTGCGGGTCGCAGGGTGCTGGTGAGAGAGAGTGCAGCSCCAGGGCTGCTGCTGCAGGAGCGGAGGATCTCCGGGGTCCACGACCCCGTCTGAGAGTCGCTCAGCCAGACTGTCCCGTGCTTTCAGGCTCAGATAACCGTGCCTGCAATGTAAACAGCGTCCCTGGGACCGCCTGGTACTGCGCACCCAGCTGGCCTGGCCCGGGGAGCCCCGGGGAGCAGCAGCTCCATCATAACCCCGTGGGTCACGCCTGGGGCGCTTGGCTCCAAAAGGGATGGATGAGACCAGGGAAAAGGGGAGCAAAGCCCAAGTGCAGGCTGCAGGTCAGGGGACAAAGGGCAGCAGGAAGGGGCGAGGAAGGCCCTGYTTATGTTCACTCCCCATGGGCAGCTGAGGTGTCCTTTTTGCCCTCCCAAGACCCGACTTCCCCCAGCCCTGCTGGGATGAGCTGTCCCAGTGTTCGGAGGATGTTATTTTTGCCTTCCAGCCAGCCTGCGGGTTCATATAAGCAAACATTTCCAAAAGCGGTGGCTGATCTGTGTTGCCTTGGTCCCTGAGTGTTCAGCCTGTGACAGCTTTGTCCATGACTGGAGAAAAATGTGTGTGTGGAGGATGGAGATACTGAACAGCTCTGAAACCAGGCCTGAATCAGCCCAGAAACAGGAGCATCAAAAACTGCTTGCTGCAGTGGAAAATGTGACCTGTGTGCCTCGCTGCTAGGCAGGGGGCTGGCTACTGACACCCACCACGTAAGGGATTATTCTTGGGAGGGGATTAAAGGGAGTGCAGTTACTTGGAATAACTAAATTATAAAACTTGGACTGTTCCTGCCGCAACCCTGGGAGGAAACCTTGCTGRTTTGCTGTGCTGTGTCACACCCCAGACACTCCTGTGCTGGGGGCAGCACTGATGTTTGGGGGAGCACACATTCCTTGACACTCTGTCTGGGGAAAGCAGCYGGTGTCGAACAGAAATATCTTGTCAAGGATGTCATATCCTTGACTGGCTGCCAGCAGAGTTGCTTGCAGTGGGGTGGCTGGATGTGCCCAAGACCTGCAGAGGGGTGGAGGGGCATGGGGCAAAGGCATCCCCACGTATCAGCAGGAGCCCTCTCCTCCCATGCTGTAGCTCATGGCAGCGCATTGATGGAGCATGAGGTCATCCAGAACAGGCTGGGCAGAGCAGGCAGCGACTTGAACTGCTGCCCAAATTTTTCTGCCTCCTGAGGCTGGGCTAAGGGAGCTACGGCATCATTATGGAAACCTTCACCTGATGCYGGCCTATCTGCCACCAGTGTGTACAGATGTGGAGTGTCAGGAATAGTAGGATTAACTCGAAGGAGTCCTGCTATTAAAGGACTGATGAGTAGGAGCTCTCTGAGTAGTAGCTTAGGCTAATGAGAACTGCCTTGTTTGGTGTGGGTCTGGGCAGCGAGCCCACAGCTCATCAACTTGCACCATCTCCAGGTCATGCATGTAGTGAAGGGTTATTCCTGGGTCTCCACCTGGGTTCAGCTCTTATTCTGACTTCTTCAGTGTGGCAGAGAAGGGATGCRCTGTCCTGTTTGACGAGGAGTTACTGGGGCTTTCAGCCAGTTGTATGGAAATCTGGTCTAGGTTTATGGAGTGYTGCCGCCTTGCAGCTTTCAGGCAGAATAAATTGAGGGTGGGAGGAATTTCAGCCCAGCTCTTGCAATCTGATTCAGCYCTGCAATGGGGAGTAGAAGGTTGGAGGGTGTGGTGGGTTGATCTCATTCACTCCCCTCCTCAATAAGATAGGGTGGGGAAAAGAAGGAAAAGATCCAGAGTGGGTCCTTCCCGTGGGCTGSAGCTATTCATGAAATGCTCTGGTGCGGGTCCTTTCCATGGAGATACAGTCCATGAGAAAGAGACTGCTCAGCCTGGAGTAATCTGTGGGCTGCAGGGTGGATATCTGCTCCCCTGTGACCCTCCACAAGCTGCAGGGAGACTGCTCTTCTCCATGGGCTGCAGTGGAATCCCTGCTCCTGTACCTGGATTGCTTCCTTCCCCTCCTTTTTCACTGCYGGGGGTGTCTGCAGGGCTGTTTCTCTCACATTTTCTCACTCCTCTTCTACAGCTGCTGCACAGTGTTTTTCACTTTATCTTGGATATATATCATATATTTATAAATATATAATATATATATATATTTATCTTGGATATATTGCCCACCAGCTCTGGGCAGCAGAGGGTCTGTTTTGGCATTGGCTGGCACTGGCTGTCTCCAACATGGAAGCAGCTGTTGTCTTCTTGCAGGAGCCACCTTTGCAGCCCCAAACTTGCCACATAAACCCTACACCACGGCAGATGCTGGAGGTGGATGAACAGGGAGGGAAAATGATGCAGCCCCACCASCTCCCTGGGGGAACCTTCCTGTGAGCCAGAGCTGCTGCTCAGAGAGTGCTGGAGGTCTGGCAGGCGTCCTGCAGAGATGGACCTTGTGCTTCCTCCCTGCCTGTTTCCAGCATCTGGGAACTGAGGCGTTCGAGCTCCCCCTACAATGATTTTTTTTTTTTTTTTGGTGCTCTAACAAGTACAAACTTCCATTAGCAAAACCCAGCAACAGCACCAACCCCATTCCCTTAAATGATCCTGTCCTGTTCGTGCCTGAGTGAGGCCCAGCCTGGCCACTCACATTTCTCAGCCAAGTGTCAAAAACATAAAATGCACCAAACCCCGGGTTCCCCCTGTCTTCACTTTGATTTATAGACTCTGTTAAACCTCTGTTTTTAATGTGCCAGGGCAGGACAGGTCCTGCTGGTTGTGCTGCCACTCTCAACCATTGCTTCTGTGCAAAGTCCAGCAGCCAGTCCCTGCCAGGTGCTCCTTCCCTGTGGGATTTGCAGCAGAGCAGTTCCTGCAGTTGGGCTGGGATGCCTTAGGGATGGTTTGCAGTGACACCTGGCTTTATTTCCAGGTGACTTCTGTGACGTGAACCACTGTCAGAATGGGGGCACCTGCCTGACTGGGATTAACGAGGCCCCCTTCTTCTGCATCTGCCCCGAGGGCTACGTTGGGATTGACTGCAATGAGACRGAGAAAGGTGAGGAGCTGACCCTTTTGCAGGTGCTCCATGTCAGCCAGGAACCTTGCAGAGAGTTAGTGTGCCCTTGTCATGGCCCTGCACCACTGGCCCTGGGCTCCAGCCCTTCTGATGGCTGATGGACACAYAGAGCAGGGATCCAGGCTGGGATATGGTGCTGGGATACACTTGGGGGGAATGCGGTGTCTGTGGGGAGTGGAAGCCCACTGGATGCTCATATTTTCCACCCGTGCCTATATTACAGTTGTTTTTCCCCTTCCCCAGGCCCCTGCCACCCCAATCCTTGCCACAACAATGGTGAATGCCAGCTGGTCCCAAACCGAGGGGACGTCTTTACTGACTACATCTGCAAGTGCCCCGCGGGGTACGATGGGGTGCACTGCCAGAACAGTGAGTACTGTGCTCTGGGGGGCAGGGGAAGCTTGGGGACCCCTGGGACAGCTCTGGGGTGACAAATGGGGGTGTGTGCAGCTGTGTCTGTGGGGTACCAGGCTGTCTCAGGGACCATGGGCTGTTTTGGAGCTTGCAGGGTGCAGGGAAGGACCATGGGGTGGGGACACACTGTGTGTCTGCATCTCTGGAGGGCCTTGGTGCCTGGAATAATAACATGAGGGGTGCCTCGAGGCTCTCCCTGCTCCATGCAGTGTCCCAGCTGTGATTGACTGAGTGCCTGTGCACCTGCATGGCTGCACTCAGTGGGGACATGGCATGGATGGGTCCTTGGGGTAGAGCTTCAATCCCTGCCACCGTGTCATCAGAGTCCCTGCCATGGCCCTTCAGGGGATGCCTCCCCTTCTTCCTGCTGCTCTGAGTGAGGGGTCTCGTCTCCAGGTTTGGGGTTGCCTCCTGAGCTCCCCCACTCTCTCCTAGACCAGAATGAGTGCTCCTCCCAACCTTGCAAGAATGGAGGCACCTGCCTGGACCTGGATGGTGACTACGCCTGCAAATGTCCTTCTCCATTCTTGGGGAAGACCTGCCACGTCCGTAAGTCCTTGACTGGATTCCCTTTCCCTCCCTGTTCCCTCCTGTCTGTCCCTCATTGCCAGGAGAGATCTCATCACCAGTTTAGGGGGTCTGGAAGGCAGCTGTGGCTGTCYTTGATGCCGTCAGGCCTGGTGCTGATGAAGGGAACACACTCAAGAAGGTGCTTTCACCTCTCTGGAGGGCCCCAGAACAGCCCTTTCTCCCCCAGACCTCTGTGCAGTGAGGGGGACTGATGGATGGTGTGGTTTTGGCTGAGGGATGAGGAGGAGGGGACATCCTGGGGACAGCCAGGTCCTAGGGCTTGCCTCCCTCTCCTGCTCTATCCCCAGACAAGAAACAAATGACCCCTCATTGTGCTCCCTGGTGACCRTGTCTGTGTGATCCTGATCCCCCCTGTGCCCCCAGGCTGTGCTGTTCTCCTGGGCATGGAAGGAGGAGCCATCTCTGACGCCCAGCTCTCAGCATCCTCTGTCTACTACGGCTTCCTTGGCCTCCAGCGCTGGGGCCCAGAGCTCGCCCGCCTCAACAACCACGGCATCGTCAACGCCTGGACCTCCAGCAACTACGACAAGAGCCCCTGGATCCAGGTACCTGYGGCAGGACTGGCAGTGCCAGCACAGACAGCAGCCCTGGCAGCCATGCTGGCCTTGCTGTCAYGGGATTTCACTGTTCCTGGTGGTAAATGTGGGGCTGAATTGCTGCAGCAAGCTGCCACCCTGGGGTATCTTGKGGTGGGGMTGGAGGAGGCAAGAGCATTGGAGGRAGGTGGAGCTTGGGTTGGTGATCCCCTGTGCTCTGCARGGCTGGAGGGATGGAGGGAGTTCCAGCTCCCTGGGCAGCCCCRTTCCATGTCCCGATGCCCACCCTCCCACTCAGGCGGTGCTGGTGGGTGCAAGGGCTGTGTACCCCACCCTCAATGTACCCCACTCATGCTTGTTTTCCATCCTCAGGCCAACCTGCTGCGGAAGATGCGGCTGAGCGGGATCATCACRCAGGGTGCACGCCGTGTGGGGCAGCAGGAGTTTGTCCGTGCCTACAAAGTCGCCTACAGCCTGGATGGGAGGGAGTTCACCTTCTTCAAGGATGAGAAGCAGAATGTAGACAAGGTGGGCTGCGATGCTCCGTGCAGGGGATGTCTCATTTCCTCAATTTTGGGGTGSTGGAGTGGCTCTAAGCTGCATCCCATGTGTGGGAAATGCTTTTGACCTGGGGCAAAGTTCCCATGCTGGGAACCACTGGGAACTCTCCTGGCAGTGAGATGGCACAGGCAGTTCCAGCGCCGAGCAGTACTCCCTGCCTCTGTTTAATTGACCRTAATGAGCATAACCAAAGAAGCAGCAGTGACTTATTTAGGTCATTCAGATAGTATCTTTATCACTGACACGCTGTGGGAGCTGGGCTCGGTCTGGGAGTGCTGCTGAGCAGCTCAGGTGGCTTGGTGTTGTATCTGCACCAAGTAGCAGCTGACAGCATGTCTSTCAAAGCAGAAATACTCATAGATTGCAACGCTCTCCACTCCCAGTTCTTCATGGCAAGTGTCTTTTGCTGGCTTCCTGAGCATCCAGGGAATGGTTGGGAGTATCTGCTTTGCTTTTAAAAAAAAAGAGGAATTCCTCTTGTTTTTTCAGCAGTGGAAAAAGAGCATGAAAACACAATTTGACTCTTTATTGTGTTAAAAAGAAAGAAGAGAGCCACCTCTGTGCTTTGAGGAGTGTTGTGTAAGCGGGATGGAGTGGGTGTTGCTGCATGTGTGGCTCTGTGGGGGTGAGGATGGAGCAGGGAGCGTTGCAAAGCTCTGTTGAGAGTGTTGGAGCTGCTGCAAGGTCGTGCACTATTCCAGGGCACAAAAACAGAGCCCAACTTTCCCCACCGTGCTCTTTGGCCACGGGCAGTGCTGCCATCTCTCTGTCTGCTGTGCGAGATATTTAATGCGGGAGGCTGTGGGAGAGCTGGGGCACTGAGCCCTGCTGGCTGTTGCAGGTTTTTGAGGGGAACATGGACTATGGCACCATGAAGACCAACATGTTCAACCCTCCCATCACGGCCCAGTTCATCCGCATCTACCCCGTCATGTGCCGCCGCGCCTGCACGCTGCGCTTCGAGCTCATCGGCTGCGAGATGAACGGTAAATGTCTGTCCCCTCCTGGGGCTGCAGGGCAGGGGGGACACAGGGCAGGGATCACCCCTTGGCCTGGTGCTGATCCCTCTGGAMAAGGGATTTGTTTTCCCTCACACTGGGAGTACCCAGGGGTGYGTTTGGGGAGCACAGGCTGTTAATCCCATGGGCTCAGCCAGCTCGAGCTGCATTCTCACGCTGCTAACACCTTCCCAAGCCAGGAGTTTTCACTGTGCTACCTCCCCATCTGAGCTCTGAGCCCGCTACTTTTCCTGCCTGAGAGCTTGAAAAACACTGGAGGATCAAAGTCCTCTGGGAAATGTGAGGGATCGTCAGCCTGAGCCCTTTGCCTGTGCCTCCTGCATTCCTGCCCTGGGATCTGAGTGGGACTCACTGTGGGAGTGGGATGCTGTGGGGGCTTGGGTCCTGTCCTGCTGCTGTGTGGGTGTGGTGCCATCTGTGCTTTTGGCTGGGGATGTCTTTGCGTTTCTCTTTTCACATCCTCCTGTGTCTCTTGCCAAAGCTCTCTGTGTTCCTGCGCTGTGGGGACATCCACCCGTCCCTGCAGCAGGAGGCACTGTGAGCCAGGGAATAGCTGGGAATAGCTGAAAATCCCGGGAAATCTGCTGAGCATTTCCCTGCCTGGCCCTGCTGCTGCTCCGTGCAGTGCAAACATGAGGATGTGGGGATGGTTTCTGACAGGGCTGCGGGGTTTTGCATGCGGCGGTGCGGTTGTCTCTTTTCCTTTTCACTGCCTGTGTAAACTGTTGTGTTACAGTGTATTTCAACACGGCAGGTTGCTCCGAGCCCCTGGGCATGAAATCCCGCCTCATCTCCGACCAGCAGATCACAGCCTCCAGTGTCTTCAAGACCTGGGGCATCGATGCCTTTACCTGGCACCCTCATTAYGCCCGCCTGGACATGACGGGCAAAACCAACGCCTGGACAGCCCTGAACAACGGCCAGTCCGAGTGGCTGCAGGTGGGTCTCGGGTCTCTGTAGCCTTGCTGTGGGTCACAAAGCCCAGCAGTGCTCTCCCCGAGCAGGGAGCACAGGGACAGGGSAGAATGGGACCGCAGCCACCTGTTTGAACAGCAATCCTGGAGCTCTGGGTGACAATCAGTGCTCACAGGGATGTGGTGATGCTGTCTTTTCACCTTCTTGTGGGGTGCATCAAGCCTGCAGCACCCCAGTTTCTCCCTCACCCCGTAAGGAAATKCCACCCCAGCCTGGGGTGACYGTCCCACCACCCTCTGGCTGCCCASAACACTGTGTTTCTGTTTTGCAGCAAAAAATCAGGCTTGCTTTTCTCTTCCCAGTCTGGAATAGAAACAAATAGTTTTGAAATTTCCTTCTCAGTTTTCTTTCCTCCCCTGTTTTTGTACTTTTCACATGATTCCATGACATAATAGGACAAAGCAGTTTAGATATTTGTCCCGCTTTTTATTTGGGAAATGATTAAAAGCAGCTGCCTCCCAACTCTAAATAAACCCAGCTTATCGAGACATCGGCTGATGATGGGGTCGGGMTGACACGCCGAGTGTGGCTGTTGCACCACAGACTGCTTGTTTCTCTATGTGTGTTCAGACATTCATGTGCTCTCAGGATTTACATGTATTGTAGTGCTGGAACTGCCCTCCATGAGCATAAAGAAAGAACTAAATTAATGAGATTTTCAGTTCCTTTGCACGTTTAGCCTGTAATGTGCCAGCAGCAGTAAACACAGTGTGGCAGAGTAAAGAGAATAGAAACCATCTCACTTAGAACCCAAATGTCAGATTGTGTTGAACTGTGTATTTTCTCAGCCAGAATTACTTTCCAGTGGAAATGCATTTCCTCTGTGAATCCTGGTTTATTTTTTTTTAATTGAGATTTTTGGCTGTCCTTCCCACATTGATGATTCTGGCAAAAAATGTGGAGGTRGCAGGGATGGGCAAGGGAGCTGAGWTGGATTTGTGCCCACTTCTGGTTGCTTTGAGGGATGCTGTGAGTGTTGGAAGGATGAAATATTTCATAGTTGTGTTTTATGATTTGTCTGGCATTGCTGTGGGGGTCAAGTGGTGTTTTGTCCATCCTTGACCCCCAAGGGCCGGCTCTTCCAGACCCTGTAGAACATGCAGAGTGCTGTAGGGTGGGAGCACTGCTCCTGCAAGGAGCTGTGACAAGCCTTGTCTCTGGCAGATCGATCTSCGGGACCAGAAGAAGGTGACAGGCATCATCACGCAAGGAGCCCGCGACTTTGGGCACATCCAGTATGTGGCAGCCTACAAGGTGGCCTACAGTGACAACGGCACGTCCTGGACGCTGTACCGGGATGGMCAGACAAACAGCACCAAGGTGGGTGTGGGGAGGGCGAGGTGATGTCCCTGGGCACAGTGGGGAGGGCAGAATGTGCTGAGTTGGAAAATACCCATGAGGATCATTGTGTCCAACTCCCAGCCCTGCACAAAACACCCCAAGAGTCACTCCATGGGCTCTGCCTRTGAAYGTTGTCCAAATGTTTCTTGAGCTCTGTCAGCTCAGTGCTGTGACCTCTTCCMTGGGRTGCTGGCTGCACTGACACCCACCTTTCTCCTCCAGATCTTCCATGGCAACAGTGACAACTACTCCCACAAGAAGAACGTGTTYGACGTGCCCTTCTACGCCCGCTTTGTCCGCATCCTGCCCGTGGCCTGGCACAACCGCATCACCCTGCGCGTGGAGCTGCTGGGCTGCGATGAGTAGGCACGGCCAGGAAGGACGGGGCTGCTCTTCCCCGCTGCCCAGCCTGCTCCCTGCCTGCCCTGCCYGCTCCTGCTCTGGCCTCACACCCCCCTGTCCACGTCCCCACGCTCAGGAGGCGGCCGAGAGGGCTCCCCTGCCCCGCCGTGGTGCTGGGGCTGCAGCACTGCACTTTATGGGGTCCTTGAAGGTGGGATGTGGGGATGGCTCCTGCCCTTCTGCTGCTCCAGCCAGGGCTGAGACCCCCTCCTGCAAAGGGGGGACACCATCCTGCAAATGGGGCCTTGCTGGGGGACCCTGTCCTGCAAATAGGGCTTGGCTTTGTCTTCTCAGCTAYGCCCGGGGACAAATTTTCTCCCCCTTCTTGCTTCTGCTTCCAGCAGAGAGGTGCAGCCAGTGGCAGTCCCTGGCCTGAACTGGGTTTTGGGGCTCAGCAGCCTTTGGGGTGTTAGGGCAGGCACCCCTGGCTTGCAGCCTCTGCTGTCCCTCCTGCTTCCTGCTTGTCTGCAAGCAGGGGCTCTGAAAAWCCCCTGAAAAAACTCAGCTGTTGTCCCCTTTTGCCAGGCCCTGGGTCTCCTTGCCTGCAGTGTCAGCACCACAGAGTGCGAGGGGAGTGATGAGATGGCTCCTGGCAAGAGGCACCAGACCCCCACCGATGGTGGCTCTGTCCTCTGGGCACTCTGGCAGGTGCCACAGCTGGCATTTTGGCAGGCCCTACCCATTCCCCTTCCTGGGATGCCAGCTCCAGCATTTTCCCAAGTCTCAGCACTGCCGTCATCCCCAGCTTATTGTAGTTTGGGGTGCCTGGAGGTCCCTTATCCTCAGAGCCCAGTGGTGACCAGGGGGACTGTGATCTGGTAGCAGGGCGAGTTGGTTTGTAGCCACAAGGATGTGGAGAAAAGATGGGAAAGGTGGTAGTGACACCACCCAAATGCAGCAGGCAGAGAGCCGTGCCATGACCCTTTTTGTAACCTGATTTTTTTTTCCCTTTCCATGGTGGGGGGGAGCCTCTTGCAACGCTGGAGCCCTCGGGGTTAGCAGCAGGAGATGAGTGAGCCCCGGGTGGGAGCAGGGGAGGGTCCAGGCTGGCAGCAATGCTTCCCCTGCCTGCTGGTGTGTGAAGTGGCCATGGGGCTGGGCTGGCAGTGGGCTCACTGTGGCAAGGGCTGAGGGAGCCCGGGTGGGATGGCAGTGATGGCCCCGCTCTGGGGTGTCTCTGACAGTATTAAAACCAGCTGAAACTTTGGGGGTGTTGGCTYGTCTGCTCTGTGCCTCTCCAAAGGSCATCTCCCAAAGCCCTGCTGGTCTGGTGATCCCCCAGGATTCCCTCTGAGCCCCTCAACTCCTCCATCCTGGGGGTTTCCAGCTGCTGTGCTGGCCCCACACTTCTCCTGCCTTCACAGGCCCTTCTAGCTCCCTTCCCTGCCTGAAAAATAGGCTATCTCAGGGCTTYGTGTGCCTCTTTCCCACTGCCTCCACCCTGTCACAGCTGCTGGAGACAGTGCTCACAGCTGGCCAGACAGCAGGATGGGACTTGGGGAGGGGAAGCCTCTATCAGCACCCCACACCCTGTGTCTCCTCCTTTGGCTTTGATCCTGGAGCAAATCCAGGATCCAGGATCGGCTCCTACAGCCAAACATGCTCCCAGGGCTGGAGGGAGCTGGGAGCTGTGTGAAGCTGCCTGGGGGGATGTTCCCAGCAGGGCCCCCTTGGAGCAGGATCTCCCTGTACTGAGGATGTGATCCCACGTGGGGAAGGAGCACTGAGGTGAACAGGACAGAGGAGTTTTGCTCATCTCTGGAATCTGCCACACTGAATGGCCAAGAGTCACCCATGTCCAACCATAGCTCCCTGTCCCTGCAGCTCTGGACAATCTTCCTGCACCTCCCAGTGCCCTCCTGGGCCAGGCATCCCCTCCTTGGGCCTTGCCCATGGCAGGTGGGCTCATACCCAGCCTGTGGGTGCCAGCCCTTGCAGAGACTGGGCTGAATTCATTGTGGCAGTGGCTGCAGCTGCTTGGTGACAAATAACAGCCACAGTTAGAGCCAGGGACAGGGGGACAGTCTGCCCTCTTCACTTCCAGACATGCCACCCTTATCATCGGGAAGCTGTGGCAGAGATAAGAGCAGTTCGCTTTGAGTCCAGCCAAGTCAGCCGTGAGCCAGGGACGTGGCAGAGGCTCCAGGAGGAGGGTGGTGGGAGCAGATGCTGCACAGCAGAGCAGGGGATGCATCCTCAGCCCCCAGCTGCTGCTCCCCCTGCCCATTGCCACCCCCCAAGCCAGCCCCTCTGATGGATGCTGAGCCCTTTCCCAGCCTTGTGGCATTTCCTTCATCCCCCAGAGCCGCAGGATGGGGGGATTGGGAGAGCCAGGGTGCCCTCCCCACCATGCACAGCCCCTCACCGCCTGTCCCTGTCCCTGGGATGCTCTTCCCGGACGTGGCTGGGTTGATGGGACAGCAGGAAGGCGGGATGGCCGGCACCCTGCTGCTGGTGCTGCCAGCTGTGGCGAGCTGGCTCCTCAGGAAGCAGCCGTCAGGGACAGCATCCTCTCCTCACCACCCGGAAAGCCCAGCTCAGATCACAACCTCCTCCATCCCACCAGGAATGGGAGTGTTCCTGCTGGAATCATCCTGTGCAAGCAGCATTTCACAGACAAATCTCTCTGGCGAGGCCACAGCAGAGCTGTCAGATGCTGACTTTGAGGCGGGGAAGACTGGGATGACACTTTTATGGCTCCTGTTCAGCCAAACTCAGACACGTGCCCTAAACATGTGTTCCCAGGTCAGACCCTGCACAGCTTTGCTCAATCTGAAWCCTGTGGTCACACCCAGGGTACCCCTCAGGGAATGGAAAACAAGAAGAGGGTGAGAGGTGGGAAGGAATGAAGGAGATTCCTTCTTCCTCGGGGACTGCTGGTGGCCCGATCCTTCCCTGTGCCCGCAGCTCCCTAGGAGGAGATGGGGAAACCACTGGCAACATCCAGACAAGYCATGGCCTAAGGTGAGCCAGGATTTGTTACTAAAGAGGTGCCTAAAAGCATCTCTGTCCCCTTCCATGCTGCCAGTCCCCTCCTCAGACCAGGCAGAGGATGGCTGCTGGTGCAGGCAGTGCAGGACTCTGGGGCTTGTTCCTCAGCCCGGGAACAATGGGACAGCCACGCCAGGGAGCAGCGTGCCCCGACAGAGCTGTCTGTCTGTCTGCACAGCCCCGGGGGTGGRGAGAACCATCGCAGCTGCTGGATCACTGGAACAATTTGGGCAAACAACTGCAGCGGGACACTGGTGGCCAGGTTGCCGCTGGGACACCAACCTAGGACACCACCCCACCACCCCCTCCGGCCGAGGGACAGGGCTGGGGGCAGCAGGGACCCTGGGCCGTGGTGCGGGCAGCGCAGCGGCCCCAGTGCCGGCAGATGTAATTGTCCTTCCATTGTGGGCTGCGGCACAGGCTGCTCCGGGCGCTGTGCCCGGCCGTCACACTCCCGTGTGCCCGGGCAGCCCGGCTCCGCTCGTCCCTCCCCGGGGAGGGCTGGCAGGGCTGCTGGGTGTGCGGGGAAAGGGGAGCAAGGCAGAGCAGTGCCTCCGGAGCCCGGGTCGCACTGCTATCCCTGCCGGGGCTGCCATGCCGGCGCTGGCGGCAGATAACACCGTTTCCTTGCTGGCTGCTCGCTATCAGCGTGGCGGCGACGGGCAGACAGGATCGCACCCCGAGCGCTCCGTGCTGGGCGCTGTCGGCAAAGGCTCCTGGCCCCCTTCACCCCGCAGCCAGCCTCGGGCCGTTTATTTTTACACGGCTTGTTTTCTTTCCGGCTTGAAGCCATCCTGCACGGCGGCAAAGAGCTGGACCGGGGCCCCCACGCCTCATTTCCTTGCCATAAAACAACAAAGTGGGGGGTGAAGCGGCGCTCTGGGCTGGGACAGCGGGTCGATGGGTCAGGGCACACGCCGCACCGTGGTTCCTCCGTGTGTTTGGCCCCTCTGTGCACCCCATGACCGGCATCCCCCGGCGGTGCCGCGGCCGTGCTGCCCTTCCYGAGGGCTCCATCTGGGGTTCCTGGAGCTGGGTCTGCATGTCTGTGTGCCAGTGGCAGCTGGCATGGAGGGCATCACCCCGGTTTAGGGATGATGTCCCCTCGCATGGTGCAACTGGGCACCCCAGAGCTTTTGCCCTGGTTTCTGTGCCTCTCTTTGTCCTCATAGCCCCARGCAGACCCTGAAGAGGCTGAACCCCACAGCTCAGCTGTCTTTCCTGAATTCCAGATTCTGCCTGCACATTCTGGGCACAGAACACTCTGTGCCACAGCCCACCTGTCCCAAGCTGCCGGTGCCTGTGATGCTCCTGCCACATCCACCTTTGTCTGGGGACCGTGGCTRGTCCCCTCCAGTGGGATGTGGGATGAGGGATGTCTCTTTTTCCCTGGCACTGTGGCTTCACTGGGGTTTTGCACGGAACATCACAGGATCCCACCAGCCCCGACAGGGCACGTTGCTCCCCAGTGCTGCCCTTTCCAAGTCGGGGGCAGTGCAGGCAGCTGGCACACCCCAGATGAGGTGTGTGGGCACCGTGTGGGCACCGTGTGGGCAGTGTGTGGATGCTCGGTGAGGCCATCACCCAGGCATGGTGGGCAGGCGGGGGGACGGGGGCACCCACCCCAGCTCCGGGCTGCGAGCAGGGGGTTGGGAAAGGCGTGTGTTTCCCTTTAAGAGGCAGGCCCTGGAGCTGCTTCCTCTCAGCCCTGCAAGAGCCCTAAACACAGTGCATCTGCCTGCAGCCTGCCCGCAACCAGCGTGAGTAGGGCTTGACCCCAGCGCCGGGCTGGGGAGGGCTGGCACCCGGGGYGGTGGGCACCAGGGGGGATGGCAGTGCCGTGGAGGGAGCTGGGCATCACTGGGGAAGGTGCCAAGCATCGCTGTGCTGGGAGCTGCAGCACGATGCTCGTGGCACCGCAGGAATGCCGGGACCACTGCTCGTCGCTGCAGCGCTGGGTTTGGGGGGGGTCACCGGTGTTGGGGTACAGGGGGAGCAGGGCTGGTGCCCTGCAAAGAGAGCTGTGGAGCTGCCGTGCCTCGAGCCCACCCTGCGACGCGTGGGCAGCACGTGGTGGTGTCCCTGTGGTGTCCCTGTGGTGTCCCTATGGTGTCCCCGCTGTGTCCCTACACTGCAGTGCCAGCAGCACCCCAGGCTGTGCTGGCGCTCCCCTGGGTGCACCCTGCACCCTCGGCCACCGGTTCTGCTGGCCCCAGTGGGTGGCAAGTGTGAGCTGCCCACTGTGCAGTGGCGCTCACAGCGGAGGAGGGTCCGGGGTTGAGCGGCCGGTTTCTCACCCCAAGCTGTGGTGAGCGGGGCCGRTTTCATGCCCCGGACCCCAGCGAGCACCACCGTACCCCGTATTGACCATTCCGGGGATGAGCTCTGTTCTCTCACAGCCCCCTGGCCCCGGGGAGGTTTGCAGGCGTTCCAAAGCCTTGTTTGAGCAGGGCACGGATGTCAGAGCCCCCCAGTGCTGGATGGGGTCTGCCTGGGGCTTGCYGGGTGCCGGGCCCCCTCTGCCGGCTCTGGGAATGCTCACAAGCCAATTCTGCTGGTAGCACCCTGGGTGAGCCCCGCGCGGGGCACCCCTGTGCGTTCTGGCCCCCAGAACTCGGGACAGTGCACAKTTCTGATGCCCCCAACCCATGGGACGGATTTTGGGAGCCCAAATATGTTGCAAGGGGTCGTTGCCAGCCGTGTCTGTGGTGCAGGGCGGCAGTCCCGTGTTGGACTCGGGGGTGCTCGGCCAGGACGGGGAGTGGTGCCGGGCTTTGTCCGGACCGGGGCAGCGGAGGCAGCCCGAGCTCTGTCCCTCCCTCCTTGGTCGGGCTGCACGCTCGGCTGCCTCTGTAAACCGACCTTGCTGCTTCACAGTGGGGCTCTGCCRCTTCTCTCCCCCTGCACCCCGTGATGTTTTCCCTGCTCAAAGGACACCCTGGGATCCCAGCTGGTTTCTCCAGCTGCCCCGTCCCCGGCTGGGTGTCAGCACTCCCCTGCGAGCCGGGCGCTCCCCGCAATGACCATCCTGCAATGGCAGCGGTGGATGCGGGGCTGTTGGTGTGACCCAGGCGGGAGGATGAGGAGGGAGGGCACCAGGAGCCCCGCTGGGGGTGGCTCCGGGRACATGGCTGAGGTTTTCTGAGCTCTCCCCTGCGGGCAGGCGAGGTGCTCTGCTGGCTCTTCCCACYCCTCTCCTTGCACCCCTGGTATGGGTCTGCTTGGCACCACGGCCARGCATTGCTGGCTTTCTCCTGGATATTTGGGGGTGTCACAGCAGCCCTTTCCCCCTCTGCAGCCCCCCTCAGGGTTCAGCCTCACTTCCCAGCCATGCTGCTCCTCCCACTCCTCCTGAAGGCCACCCTGCTGCGCCTGGCCAGTGCCTCCTACCACCCCTTCTACAACGGCTTCTACTACAACCACATCATGAATGACGATGGCGAYGGGCAGGACAAAGGTACATCGGGGACAAGGGGGCTGGCAGCTGGTCACAGGAGGCTGAAGTACCACCCCTGGGTACTGGATGGGGTGGAGACCATCTCTTTGTGGGATGTGGGGTTCAGAGGGCAAGCAGGGGTGCTCCAGGGTTACTTGGGCATGCTCATGGTGGAATAGGTGGTGGCTCGAAGGAAGGTTTGGGGATGCTGCCCAGCCCTGGATCCTGATCTGCCCATCACGCCTTCCTTCCCTATCCCCAGTAGATTACTTCAACGGAGCCAAACTGGTTGTGGAAACCTCCAAAGACCCTGTGTACAGCTACAACGGTGCCAACGTCACCCTGCCCTGCCACTTCCGCTACGAGCCCGACCTGGGACCTAAGCGCAAAATCCGCATCAAGTGGTCCAAGCTGCGGGACGACTACACCAAAGAGCAGGACGTGATGGTGGCCATAGGCAAGACCTACATGGCCTTTGGGGACTTCAAGGGCCGTGCTCACATTCGCCAGGCCAGCCGGCACGAGGCCTCACTGGTCATCAGTGACGTGCGCTTGAAGGACGATGGCAAATACCGCTGCGAGGTCATCGACGGGCTGGAGGACGAGAGCGATGTCATCGACCTCCGGCTGCAAGGTGGGGACAYGCTGGGGACCAGGGGATGCTGGGTGCCAGGCAAGTGAGCCTGGCTTTCCTGTGGCACCCTATTCTTTGGGGAATAGCAAGGCAKGGGGGTGGGGGAGCCTGATTGTGGGCAGAAAGGGGCTGGGATGTTTGGTGCGATGGGGCAGTGGCTGGAGCTGTCTGGCTTGGGGGTCACAGGGGTGAGTGAGCCCAGATCTGTTTGCCCAGCTGGGACACCAAGGGTGCTGCTGGAGTCATAGTTRGGAGTGACCCCATGGCCACAGCATTTCCTGCCTTGACCCACCCATTTTCCCACTGTGCTGCACTATGTGGAGCCGCCCCCTCCCCTCCCAGCWCTGGATATCCCTGTACATCTTATGATGAACCTTGGTGATCGTTCCAGCCTCTCTTGCTCATTTGTCATGAGGGACCTGACTCAGCCTTGACACTGCTTTGAGAGCAGAGCTGTTGAAATGTCCCCTTTTCTCCCTTCTGCCCCACCCCCTGGTCCCTGGGTCCTGCCTCCCGCAGTGATTCGTCCCCACCACTTGTCCCCWGTCCCTGTGACTGTGTCCCTGTGGTGGTGATGCCCGTGGTTCTGTGGTCCATCCATCCCCATGCTGGTGGTCTCTTTTCCCCTGGGATCATGGCCATATATCCCCACGATTCTGGTCCTTGTATCCCTTTTCCTATGCATCCCCATCCCCTCAGGGGTGTTCCCTGCCTCCCCGAGACAACTGTCCGTCTGTTCCCAGGACCGTGGTCTGTACAACCCCGTGATGATGGGTCCCTGCATCCCTATTGCAGTCTGTGCATCCCGTGAGGGGTTCCTCGTGTCCCCAGGACCGAGCCCGTGTGTCCCTGTGCCACCAGATGTCGCTGGCAACTCGCTGCTGGCGCTTGCGTGTGCGGAGCAGCCCCATCCCTGCATCCCTGAGCCTTGTCTCTGCCGCACCGAGGTGTCCCTGTCCCAGAACCCGATTTTGTCATGAGCCAGGGACCCCTGTGGCTGGGCTTGCATTGGGTGCGCTGCCCACGGAGCCAGCTGAGTGTCCCATCTGCCTACAGGCATCGTGTTCCCGTACCAGCCTCCCCGCGGGCAGTACCGCCTCAACTTCCACGAGGCCGAGCAAGTGTGCCGGGACCAAGGTGCCATCCTCGCCAACTTTAACCAGCTCTTCCAGGCGTGGAGCGAGGGGCTGGACTGGTGCAACGCGGGCTGGCTGGCTGACGGCACGGTGCAGTACCCCATCCGCCTGCCCCGCAAACCCTGCGGGGGCGTGCACCTCGCCCCGGGCATCCGCAGCTACGGCCCGCGCCACCGGCACCTGCACCGCTTCGATGCCTTCTGCTTCTCCTCCGCGCTCAAAGGTGGGTTCTGGGCCGGGGAACGGGGCTGGGATCCTGGGGAGGTGCTGTGCATCACTCTCTTAGGGCACAGGATTTGGCCGGGGTGGGGTCAAGCTGCAGTGATGYTCCAGGTGGGGATGCTGTGGATGATGCTCAGCACTGCTGTTCCCCACTCACGCTCCTCTCTCCCTCCTAGGAGAGGTTTTCTACCTGGACCGCCAGGCCGGGATGACGCTGGARGAGGCCAAGCAGAGCTGCCAGGATGAGGGGGCCGAGATCGCCCGGGTGGGGCAGCTCTACTCCGCCTGGAAGTTCCTGGGGCTGGACCGCTGCGATGCCGGCTGGCTGGCAGATGGCAGTGTCCGCTACCCCATCGTCACACCCCGGGCCAACTGCGGCCCCGCTGAGCCCGGGGTCCGCACCTTTGGCTTCCCCAGCAAGGGCAGSTTTGGGGTCTTCTGCTACCGGGAGAGATAAGGAGCCAGGAGGGATCCTTCTTGGACGAGGGATGTTTCCAGCCTGCCGGTGCCCAGTGTTGGGCATTTCCAGGGGCTGTTTTGGGGGTGACTGGGGGGAGGTGGGATGGCGGGAGGTTTCTTTTTGTTTTGTTTTTTTTTCCTTCCTTTGTATTTTCCTCATCTTGCAGCTGCTTGGGGTGGCTGCCACCTGGGCAGCGCAGGACAATCCCTGGCATGGGACGTGTGCCAGGATGATCCCCACGGGCTGCTGCTGCCACCCATGGCTGGTGGCCCCTTCCCTTCCTGTGGTGCCAGGTTGTCACAACAGCTGCCTGCCCTTCCAGGCTGGTTCAGCCTCTGAATTGATGAGGTGAGGCCATGAGAGAGTGAGGCAAGGCTGGGTTTGGCCGGAGCAGAGAGCGAGTATCTCCGTTGCATCCTGGCCCCTCTTCCAGCCCCTTCCATGTCCTGCTGAAGGATGCCACTGTGCCTGTCCCCGTGGGAGCGCAAGTGCCTTATCTCTGTGTGCCTCATCTCGGTGTGCCTYTTGCTTGGACTCCGTTTAAACTCTGGTGCCTTCTTCTTTGAACATTGGCTATGAAAAGATGTGATTTCCTGGACATCTTCTAATAAAACRGTGGAGAAAGCCCTGGAGTGACATGGCTGTGTCCCCATCTCCGTGCCATCACGAGAGAAAGGTTTGCTGTGGAGGAAGGATTTGGGGATCCCTGCCTGTCTCATCCTTGGCTGAGCATCGCTTCATCAGTGCTGGCTCAGCTCAGCTCCTGAAATGGCCTTGTGTTCCCTCATTAGTGAGTGTTAATTAACCCCCTGGGTGTCGGGATTGAAAGCTGGAAGGCGAAGCAGCTCCTGCAGGCTGTGGGTTTTGGATGGGTTTTAGGCATGTGGGTTCATCCCTCCCAAGGTGAGAGCTGAATGGGGAGGGCAGGGTCCTGCTCCAGGGTCCTTCTTCAGCTGGGGCTTGGGACACCCCTCCCATCCCCGTGGTCCTTTAGGTGCTGCCTGGGGCTGAGCCATTCCTGTGTAACCCTCTTGGGTTCCCCTTCCTTCCTTGCTGCCTTGCCCCCTCCTCCCAGCCCACCAGACACCCCTCTTCCCTAAAAAAAAACCAAAAAACCAACACTGACAAAGTGCCCGTTCTGATTTCGCTCTCTTTATTATTTATCATTCTTTCAAAATAGGATATGTTCAAAAATATAAATAGGTGCAGGGAACGCTGGTGCCCCGCACGGTCCCCTGGAAAGAGCACGTTGTCCTGGGACGGGCGCTGCAGAGGGGGGGTCACAGCCCCCAGCACCCACATCCTGGGTCTCACCATCYCCTCTCCTCCCTCCTCCCACAGCTCCTTCCACCACAGCCCCCCAGCCCTCCCCACCCGTCCTGACGTGCTGCAGCAGTAGAAGGATTCTGAAAAAAAAAACATCCAAACAAAAAAAACAACCCCAAAAGGTGCTGTTCACCCTGGAGATTAAATAACAGAAATAATTACATTGTTCGTGGATAAAATCAGGAAAAAATAATCATCTTTATTATTTAACTTAACCCCCTGCCCTTTGCAAACCCACCCCCCTCCCTGTCCCCAAAGGCACGAAGATAATTGGAACCGGACGGTTAGTAAAAATGCTCAGATCTAATTCGTTTTGCTTTGGTGCTTGAAAAAAAAATTTTTTTTTTATATATATACACAAAGGTGGGTTTGTCTTTAATATAATTTTTTTTTCCTTATATGACAAAAAAAAAAAAGCAACAAGAAGAAGAAGAAATCGACTCTGTTAATATAAGTGTTCCGTTAAAAATCTCTCTTTCTCGCGTTCCCCCTCGGTCTCTCGCCCCGCTCTAATGGGTGGGTCTGTGGACGGCGCTGCCGCTGGGTTTCGACCGGCTCCTGGGGCTTCTCTTGTATAGCCTGCGCTGGTAGCTGGAGGCTGTGCGAGAGAAGAAAAGGCACCTTGTTGGCAGGAGCCGGGACAGAGGAGCTTCTTGTCCCACGCTGCCTGGAAAAACACGGGGCAGCCGCAGGCAGCGCTGCCCGGGGCCGGCTGCGTGTGCCCCGGCGCCAGTCCGGCCGCACACGGACAATCGGCCCTTCTCTCCTGCTGCCGGGCTGTGCTTCACCCGGGGGAACGTGTCCCGGGCTGGGCAGGAGCATCGTTTCCACAGATGCTTGTGCCATCCTTTCTTTGTGCCTTGTGGCTCTTCCCCACCTCGCCCACTGCCCCCTCAATGCCCACCCCAACATCCATCAGGAGTGGGATGTGCTCAGGGCACAGGAGGGGAAACAGCCCCGTCTGGCTGGCAGGGACAGGGGGATTSTGCCTGATCCTTGCTCCCTGGAAGCTGCCGTGCTCTGGTTGATAATTGCAGGAGGGGTTTGGTTGGTGGAAGTGGCAATGCTGGCCGGGAGCAGGGCAGGTCTGGTGATCGCTGGTGATCCACGTCAGAACTGCCTGCAGCTCTCCAGATCCACAGCAGAGCCAGAGGAATCAGCATCCTGCTCTGCATCTCCACCATCCCTCCTGCTTTCATCTCCCTGGGACTGAGGTTTCTCCCTTAAGTCTGTATCAATTTTCCCTGGCTGTGGGATTGTTACTTTSCCTGCCTTATCTGGATTTGCCCAGCCAGATCAGAACCTGGCAAGGAGGCCACTGGACAGATGTGGTTTGTCTGAGGCCAACAAAATTCTTGGGAAGCTGCAGGCAGTCAGGGATGARCCAGGGGTGTAGGCAGGCCTGGGAGTGGGCTGGGACACCAGTGGAAGAAGSCTGGCTGCCATCAGCTGGAGGCCTGACAGGAGGAGAGTCAGGAGCCCAGCCCTGTCCCTTGGCTTCTATCTGCTGCAGGACTCCTGTCTGCTCCCAGGGCAGGGGGACACTGGGGAAAGGCTTGGGGGACCATAGCTGTCCCCTCCTATTCTCTCTGTTGATGCAGGTGCTGCCAAAAATCACCCTTTCAGAAGCCATTTATTTTTCTGTCTTTCTTTAAGTAGCCCGGGCCATTAGTGAACTCCTTGTTGCCTTTTCCTGACTCAGGAGCTGCCCCTGCTCTGCCTGGCTGGGTTTCCAGGGCAGTTCTTCAAGCCAGGCTCTGTGATCAACACCCAACCAGAAAATGTCAGCTCCCATGGCCCCATCACGGGGGAAGCTTCCAGAAATTCAAGGCAACCGTGATGTCCCCTTCTGCCTGGCTCMGAGCTATCCTGCACCCTGAGATGATGCCCCACACTTCCAGCCCTGACCCGAAGGTGAAGGCATGGACACTCACGGTTTAGGCAGGATATCCGTGGCTCCTCCCASTGCCCGCTGGGCTGGCACCGAATCGTGGGCACGTGGCGCTGGATGAAGCCCTGCTCGCACTGGTACCGCACCATGGAGTTTATTTCRTAGCGTTCCTTCTTCCGACCGAAGGTCCTGGCGTTCTCCACCACGGGGGGGTCCCCACAGGCCACTGCRGGAGATGGGCAGAGGTGTGGAGGGTGAGAGAACACCCACCCGAGCAGGCAGCTCASCCCAGGGCAGGCTGGGCGTGCACAGCCCCCTCACTCCTCCAYGGGTAAAAACTCCCTTTGGGATTGCCTCTGTCCACAGAGCTCAGGAGCAGGGGGATACAGAAATTCTGTGATTTGACATTAAGCAGGGCTCTGCCTCAGTGCTCCGTTCCTGCCTCCTGGAGAGGCTGTGAGAGCTGAGCATCGCACCAGCTGCCTGTGCCTGTGGGAGGGCACAGAGCTGCTGTGTGGGAGTGATGCTGCAGCCACAGCACCACTCTGCCTGGGGATGTTGAATCTTGTCCTATTTATTTCCGAGTCATTTCTCCTACAGCCTTGGCCTACTTCTGTTTCTCATTCCTTCCCCCTCTTTAACCACCCTTTGCAGTGACAAAACCCACGTCCCTGTGCCCTGGGGGCTCTGCTCCAGACCCACAGCCACCCCCTGAGCCCCCCATCCTTGCCAGCACGGCACAGGCTGCTGACCTGTTCCTTTCTTGCAGGTGAAAGGCAGGTGATAGTTGCAGGGGACATCGTTCCATTCGCCCTTCTCGTGCCAGATCATCACGACRCAGTCCTCGCCCGCCGAGAAGAAGTTATCGGGTTGGTTGGGCCGCCAGTTCTCGTATTGCTGCCAGGAGAGGAAAGTCCTTCACCTAAAGCTGAGCCCTGGTCTCTCCTACCCSTCCCACCTGTCTCCAGCAGAGCCTGTGGGTTGTCAGCACTGTCCCCACACCGCTAATTTCTGTTGGGATGGGGCTTGAGAGGTGACCAGCTTTTCTAGAGGCTTGGGAAAACCACARCCCTTCAAAGTTTAGTGTTGCCTCCACTCAATGCCCAACTCAGAATATAATTAATGAGGCCCTTCTCACCCAAAGGGACCCCCTTCCCACCCCCAAAAGCCAGTGTCTGCTGGTGCTGGGGGCTGCAGGCTCACCAGGGAGTGCCCGTCGGACCAGCGGAAGTCGTTCTCCACAGCTCTGTCACTGAGGCCGATCCATTGGTAATCCTGTGCATGGCCTGGGGGAGCAGGAGGGGGAGGAAAGAGTCATGGTTGTGCCACACTTTGCTGGAAGATTTTCTTTGCCATCTCAGCTGGCCCTGGAGCTCTGGGTCATTCAGCTCCCTCCCAGTCTCCATTCCTTGATGCTCTTTTCCCTTACATCATGTTTGCCCATCTCCCTCCCCACTCAACCTGCTGTGGGACAAGGATGAGGCTTTGTTAGGATAACTCTGAGTGCCAAATGGTGATTTTCACACCACTTGGAATAAATTTGCCTGTAGATTCAGACTGAGAGCCATGCCCAGTCTCTGACAGCTCTCATCACTCACTGTTCACGAATTCTTGCTCCTCTGGGGTGATGATACTGCTCAGGTGGGCTTGGTGTTGTCGGCATCTGCTCTCTGCATCCATCCAAGTCTCCCTCTCTTCAAAGTGYCGGTAGCAGTGGCCCTGGAACTTGGTCCAGCCTTCCTCACAGTTTTCCAAGTCTGAAACACACAGAGGAGGGATGGAAAGGAGTTGGTGCATGTGTGTGAAAGYGTTGCAACTCACCTCTTAGCAGCTCATGCTCTCATGGTGTGGGACAACCCGCAGTCACTTTTATTAAAAAGSAAACCCTGACACACTGCTGCCTGTAAGAATTCCCTGGAAAATTGTCAGAAGGCATCCAAGACATGCAGAGAGAGGGAAGTTTGTGTTGGAAGTGTCTGCAGTGACACCACCAGTGCTAGGAGGAAGCTTGAATGACACAGGTTTATCCCTGAGAGACTCAATCCCTGTGTAATGTTCCTGAAGTGTGCTTTTGAGGAACTGCCCAAGAAAGAACACTTCTCTCCCCACTCTGCYGTTCTGTGGAGTTTTCTTGCTTTGGGAAAAAACCTCCAAACCCCATATCCAGATGTCCAGAAYCAATGCATATGTGTTGGAAATGAAAGAAGGGACAACCAGGTTTGGGTGATTCCACCACTTGATGTGATTCTGGAGCTCTGGAGGAGAAGCAAACTGACCAAGATGGGTGAAAAAAGATGGAAACAGAAACTTATCACAGCAGAGAGAGAATTAAATCTCAATAAACCAGCCTGAATACTCTTAAAGAAGTATAAGCATTCCTCAACTTTTCGGAAGACCTTTTACCATCTGACAAACACTGAAGAACTGAACRCACTTACTAAGAAAAATAAAACCACAGGTGGGGCAAAATAGAGACAAATGGAGAAACCACCAGAAAAGACRGTCAGCAGTTCCCGTGAAATGCAACACCACATATCTGTCTGCTACACGTGACTGAAGAAAACAGAAAATTAAATGTGTTTAATCTCAGCCTTTCAGATGCCTGATCTACCATAAACAGTCACAGGGTAGAAAGTCTCTGGTTGGATTATAAAGATCTTCAGCAACAGGTATGGATGGGTAAATTGAGTGCTGATGATCAGGAAAGTGATGTTAAGGGAGCACAATTCCTGCCTAGAAGGTCCARTAATTCTGAACCTTCTCCTGGTGGCCTACTCCATGTGTTCATATTGGAAGCACAAAGAGAGATGTGGAGAAAGGGAAAGAGGAAATCCAACATGTATTWTCATTACTCATTCCAAGGTGAAGAAGATACTACAACCTTATTTCTCTTTTGTTTAAACAGAGCTTCCCCTCAGGTAAGCTGATAAAAGTTTGGACTTGCCCTGGCTTTCAGAAAAAATCGTAACTCTTTTTCTTTCCTTGTAGAAACAAAAAGAAGTATTAGCGCAGGTCAGAATGCCAAATTTTGATGGAAATACAGGTTGCTTCCTGTTTTCCCAAAGACATGTTCCCTGCTGATTCTGCCACRGGAAGCCATGAAGTGGAGATGACAAAAATGTCATGCTGTGTCAAATTGGTGGAGATTCCTGGAGTGAACGAGCCTTCTCTCAGCTGCATCTTCTCGGAGAGAAACACAAACATTTTCCATGGCTCAGTTGAAGCATCCTTCCGTGAAATTCCAGTCTAGCAGAGAAAGTTTGCCTGGGATGAAGATTACTCAGAAGGTTCCCTRCTGTCACAGATGAACAGAAAGATCCTCGACCCAAAGAGACAGCRACTTTTGTGATCAACATTATTATGATTTGTGTGGAGCTTCACCAAGAGAAACTTARAAAAGAGAAAGCTGGAGAAGACACCAGAAGCTTAGAGATCTTAGAGAACATGATGCTGTGATGAACAAACTTATCAAAACAGATATGTGAAAGCCTCWAAGCTTCTCCCTTGTGTGTTTAAAGCTGCTGTTAGAAGTTAGATTACTGAGATGAGGGCTGCACTGATGGGAGCACTGGGGATCAGCTTTTTTTGGGGAGGTAACATGGGAACGAGGTGGTGCAGCAGTTAGTAGGATTAGCTAAGCCAGGCTGGCCGTACCGATCTCACACAGGTCCCCTCCGTAGCTGGGAAGGCAAAAGCATTTGAAAGAGTCGATGCCATCAACGCAGGTGGCTCCGTTCACACAGGGGCTTGAGTGGCACACATCGGTGTCTGCAAGAAATCAAGGGCTTCCATTAGGGCTCTGGGCAGGCAACTCCAACAGGAGAACTTGTTTCCTTGCTTGTTCAGGAGGGAATATCCGCTGTTTTGGGGGCACTTGGGAGGGTTGTGTTTTATAACATTCTGCCACAGCTGCTGCTGGAAGAATGAAAGCAAGAGACCCAACCCACCCTACAAGGAAGACCTTGGTTTTGTGATGGTTGAACACCACTCTGAAGATATCAGCACAAAGCTCAGCAAGATGTGTCCAACCCACAGCACTTGCTGTGGTAACTCTTCTTTTGTCAGCTGTCTCTGCCTGATGCACCAAACATGCAAATTGTGTCTGTGTCTCCACCAGCTAAAGGTCTCTTAGGAAGAAGGTGGAATGCTCATGAGTGATGGAAACATCCTTAAATAGATGCCTATCTCCTAAGTGCTCCTGGTTGTCTGYCCTCACTAATAGTTTCTCCCTAACCATAACTTAGATGAAGTTCCACATCAAGAAATCTCTTCTCAATGAAGACAAAGAAAGTGCAGAGAAGAAAAGAAGGGGATTCAGAGGTGGTTCAGAGACCCTCAACTCTTTCTCTTTGAGGATCTTAGATCTGCTTGTGGGTGTTTCTTCCTTGGTGAGGGATACAGGAGTGCAGTGCCGTTTTTTCCAGACCTGTCCCCATTATGTGCTCTTTTGCTTGTGATGGGGATGGCAGCTGTGCACTCCATCTTGGTGGAGAGAACTTTGGAATTGGAAGAAGGGTCATTCAGAATGGAAAGATTTCGGATACATTCAACTCAGAAACAAAGAGCAAGACTAAGGAAGAAAATGGGAACACATCCAGGTTAGGTTAAATGATGGCTGGTTAGATCCTCATGTCAGACAGAGTTTCTTTCACACTCAGGAGCAATGTAAGGCTTTAAAAGTGATGTCTAACACTCCACACTCTTCTTGTGGATGAGAGGGTTAGTGAGAAAACATACAAAGATTATGATAAACATGCTAGCTGTGGAAATAGCAGAGCAGAGCAGCAATTGCCCAAGATTTGTGCTCATTTTCTGACTGGGATATATTTGGTTGGATATTGTTTCCTTGGGACTGTGGCCCAGCTGCTCAATGTCCCCAGGCACAAGGGAGCAGATGGGCGTTATACCCCATGTGGCCGCCTAGTGACTCAGTGGCCAAGGTCTGATCACGTCATCGAAAAGCTGAAATGTTCTGTAACGGGCCTAAGTGATGGAAAATATCCCTTCTGACCTTGGATGGTAAAACTCTGTGTGCCTTGGAGCAAGGAGATTGTCATCTTTATTCTAGGCTGTATCACTGCGAGCAGTGAAATCATTCCTCAGATGGCTGATGAGCCTCTTACTCCAGTTTTGCTGTTCCTCTCTGATAATAGGAATTTTCCACTACAGATTGCCCTTCTAAATCTCACGGAAGCTTTCTGGATTTCTTTGTTCACTGCAACAYGAAGAGAATTCCCGTTTCCATGACTCTAGTAAATACTTTGAGACTTTCCGGAACGAAATGGGAGTCACAAGCCTGGTAGAATAGAGGAGCTGAACTTGGCTGAGTTTTGCTTATTAGTCACACTTGGAGTTCCTAGAAGATAGAGAGCATAAAGAAAAACGAGGTATCCTGAGGAGTGATTGCAACTCAAGAGGCCCTTTGGGCTTCCCAACAGCAGGGGCAGCAGAATTTCCCRTTGATTGCGGTGGGCTCCAGCTGAACACGTAAGGAAAGGCTTTCCTTCACTCGTCAGGCTCCATGGAGTGGAAAGAACGCTGCACAAGTGGGAGTGAAGCACACAGGAGAGCTAAAGCTGGATGTTTAGCCGRGGATAATGAGCCTTCAGCTGTCTTCAGTCATGTGGAATAAATCTTGGCGTGTCCAAGACTTCTTCTGAGATGGAGGAGCCCTGCTGCGTGCTGCCATCCCCAGTGCTGGAGGAGGGGGAGCACACTCACATGTGCAAAGTCATTGCCACAAATTTCCAGCTGGGAAATAACGCTGGAACAGAGTTTCCTTTTACAGATATCACATAWAATATGGCTGCACATATTATATATGCAGTAAAAACAGATCTCTGAATATAATATATATGTTGCATATCTCTCCATACATATACATATATATTCTTATATATTACACATAGAAAAGGGTGTGTACTTCTAGGTAACGTTGGAGAAACAAACAACAAACACAAGTGACACACAGGCAGGTTTTTTTTTTTCCTAAAGTTGTGCTTCAAATGGTTGGAAAGAAGATGTTTCAAACATGTGATGATGAAAACACTGAACTCCCCTTCGGCCTCTTGGGCTTTTGAGGCAGTGACCCTCTCTCCATCTGGATGCAGCATCACYTCACTGAGATTTATATAGGATTTGGTATAGGAAAACTCAAACATATCAGTTGGGTTGGAGGAAGCATTGGTGATTCTGGTCCTCCCAGAAAATCTGGATCTCTGAGGYCTCTAGGAAAGGTCTAAATGGTAAAATTGGCAGTGATGTTGCCTCTGCAAATCCAGGCGAGTTGGTTTGTGGGTGTTTCCAGGATATTGCATCAAAGCCACAAACATGATTTACAGGAGGTGAGAACTCTATTAAAAAAAATAAATTGCATCTATCACACAACACTTAGCGATACTCTTCACGCCTTTTATATCCTATAAAAGCATCCACTTCCACATTGTTTAGAGCTAGATGAGGTTAGCAAATCACTGCACACCTCTTCAGCCAGCTGAAAAGCTGCAGCACACTCGGAGCAAGCCCCCAGCCCCACAGCGCTGGCTGCCAGGTACCACACTGGAGGATTTTAGACACGAGCTGTTTATTTGCTTGGCCGAGCACTCATCCAAAAAATCAGCTCTGCCTCGCCATGCAGCTCAAGAGCTTATCAACCACAAGGAGACAAGAGTGCCGCTATTATTGCCCCGCACTAACAAAGGACAGCAATAGCCGAGGAATGCAGSAGGGAGGCACCCCTCGATTTCAGGGGCTGCAGTGATATAAAACGAAGACTGGGAGAAAATGCCTCGAGGTGCCAAGAATAGGAAACCCAGTCTGAACAGGTCATTAACTCACTTATTGAGGATAATGCAGAATTAGCAACCCTTCTAAAGAGGATCCATGCTGCACTTAATATCGCCCAGAAGTTGCAAAATTTCCTCAATTCTACTGTCACAAGTTTCTATTTTTTTGCCACTAACAGGACCTAAGGTCTAACTTCTAGATTTATTTTTTTTTAAATATACCAATTAAAACAGAATGGTGAACACAAGGCACATCTTGCATCTGGAAGATGGAAACTCTTGGCTGGAGAAAGCAAGGGGAAAGCTATGCATTATATAGATGCAACACAAAGTATGAATTTGTTTCACCATTTCCTTCATAAGATTTCTTCTCCATTGCCACATGTATACTATATCTAGTCAGAATATCTTTCTTTTGGTGCAAGTGAAAGCAACAGAAGTGTTCTTGTCATCCTTGCCCATGGTGGGGGGGAGGTTTAAGCTTGATCATCATTAAGGTCCTTTCCAACCTTAACCATTTTATGATTCTATGATTTTCCCTATGCCTTTGAAAAACATTTGTTGTACTTGATCATGGAAATTGGAAAGAGAAACCTGGCAGAAATGAAAGAAAAATAGATTGGCCCTGGTTTTGTTCAGAAGGCAAATGGCATGTAAAAGTCAACACACAGCATCAGTGGTGAGAAGGAAATGCTTTTAAAATTCTTCATTTCAAGCTGAGACAACAATACCAGAAACAACGCTACCATTTCCTAAAACAGTGCAGTCTGTGCACTTCTCTCCATGGCTGACYATATGGAAGATGAGCAAGAACATCCATTAAACAACATCAGCTTTGTGCTTAAAACATCTGCTGAGGAGAAGCAGCTGGTGAGCAGAGAATCCTATCACCCAAACCCTGAACAAACTATAGTTTTCCTGAAGCTGTGTGTAAAATTTTTAGTAACAAACCTGGGATATTTCCATACCCTCCTGGTTTTGTTCTATAGAGCAGAAAGGCCTTTTCAAGATGCCCAACTGTGCTGTTTTCCCCCTCATCCTTTCTTTATAGTAAGTCCCATTAATCAAACAGGGAATCAGAGATTAACTAGATAATTATCTTCTAGAGACTGAGGAAAAAAAAATAATCCAGGTACAAATTAAATTTGCTTTTCAGCATCTGCTGGGAAGTTTGAACTACTGATCTGATAGATCAAATATCAAAGAAAAACATTGGAGCAATTGTAGGGTGATTCCTAGAAGAAAAGAATAGGAGGAGTTGGGGAAACCTGTTCTTTTACATTTTAAGTTAAATGCTAGTATTGARCATCACATAGCCAGCTACTGACTTATTATGAGCAATTAAGTCATTAAAATAATTAACTACCAATAATGGAACCAAAGCCTCCATGCAGCAGAAAGGGCAGGTATTGCTGCAGCTTTAAAAAACCTCTATTCTAGTAGAGATCATCAAGTTTCCAGGAGGTTCTGCTGATCTACTGGAATCTTCAATTTGTCCAACACTCTCATGGAAGAAGAGCTCAGGAAATTTGAATATCTCTGCTTCCAAAATATTATGTGTCAAAATAAATGGACATGTAAATAACACTAGTTAGTCCAAGACTGTAGGKTACCTTTGTAGAGGAAGGTTTTGTKTAAGCAAATTAACTTCTGATATGCAAATTAGACATTGCATTCAGGAGACATCAAATCATCTGCTCGGCCACAAAGGCTCTGTGCCTGCCAGCCAGGATTGGTACCTCCATCTCCTTCTTGAGACTCTAATTTGCATTCCACATTGGGTGAAACATTCTGATTTAGGTGAATATTTTCTTGGCTTTTTTTTTCTGGGTGATTTTCTCTGGATGAACAAAACTCTATCACTTGAACTTCCAGGTTGTGAAGTATGAGGAAAGCTCATTAAGACCTTTCCTCATTTGTATTTTAACCTTCTGCTGTGTGGAGTTGTAGGCAACAGACTTCATGGACTTGTTTCACCAGAGACAAGCAAAACTTAACAYAAATAGATGCCATTTCAGCACATTTCTCTTTTCCCCCACAAATGGAGTGAAGTTTTAAAGTCGTTGMCTGGTCAGAGTGCTCCAAACCGCAGCCTTTCACTGAAGCGCCAGCATGTTTTTTCAGCTAATAATTATTTGTCTTCAAATGCTACCAGAAGCAAAAAGACTCGCTGAGCTGGCAAAACCCGGGTGAGGAAGCCAAGCTTATGGACAAYTCTTTCAGCTTGTGGGGTTGCTGTCTTCATGAAGGAATCAAATGCTGACTAAAAAATGTGCATGCACAGCCTTCAATTTGGTTAAACACTAAAACATACTGGCACTCCAAGTGTTAATCTTCGGTCTTCTTATGCTTCTGGCTCTGGCTTTTAGAGATACTTTTAGCCTACAGCAGAGCAGAATAATATMATTCTTCTTAAATCATCCCACTAAATGGACTGCTGGATCTAACTGGAACCCTCCAACAACAGGGCCACAGGGCAAAAAGCCACATTCCTTCCTGTTCCTCACTCTTCAGCTCCTTGTAAAGCTGAACCAGCTTCACCCACATTTTAATGTCAGTCAAAATTGTACTTCATGGGCACCCATTGCATCCTACAAACCCTGAGCACAGCCCAAGGCATGGGTATGGGGGGTGATATTTTTTTTTTTTTTTTTTGCAAGAGCTAAATTTCAAGACTGGGAAGCTTCGAGTGAAAAGGCAGCCGCAACATGGAAAACAGAATTTTGGGATCCAGCCTATGGTTCTTCCTTGTAGACTTTCCATGTTTGCAATCCCCAGAGCTCTGTAAAGAGTAATGACCCAAAAAAGGAAACCTAGGATTCTTTTTTTTTTTTTTTTCCTTTTGTCATCTCTTTGTTGTAATTCTCTAGAAAGAGGTTTGCCTTGTTGCAAATTGAATTTTTATGAATTCATGGTCAACACACTTTTTTGCCACCTGGATGAGCTTCCTTCATACCCTGACCAGCACTGCATTTAACCCTGTAGGGACATTGTAGTAAAGTTTACCAATAAAAATAAAAGTTTTTACCCCAGAATATCTTCCCTGGTGGGAGTAACAGCCATACACATGTACTCAAGCCCATTTCTAATTTATGAAGTGGACAATCAAACTTCATGCAGTTGTTGCTTACCTCTTGCTGTCACTTGCTAAGAAACCCCAGCTGCTACATTGTCCTCTCTGTGACTCGCAAATACACATATTCCACTTTCAGAACATTTTTCAAGATTCTTCACACATGAGCTGCTGAACACATGGTTTTCTTTCAAAATACTTCACAAAAATGTTGGCTAACAAATGGTCCGAGAWATCTGGCAATCGCCTTGTGGTTAATTTTTAAAAAGAAAAAGCAGTGGAATAAACCCATATTTTGGGGCCAATATTTTTTAATTTTTTTTTTGTTTTTTGTTTTTATTAAGCCTCACTGGCTTCCTTCCCCCCTCCTCAATGCTGTCTTTSCTGGCTTATTTTTGTCTCTGGGCTTGGACGTGGCAGTGAGCATGGCCCAAAAGCAGAGCCCACGAACTGCACAAGAAAATCTTTGGGGTCCACAACTCCTGCACCACCCCACAAAGCCCTGGACGCTGTGCCAGGCTGGACCATTGCTGTGTCAGTGACCCTGATGATGATGATGATGATGATGGCTCATCCTCACCCACTTCTGCATCCTGAAGCATCCTCAGTGCAGCTGCTCAGCCACACACACGGGACCACGCTGAACAAAGGTTCGTGATTACCTGTGCTCTCAGGAGGAGAAGTGACTCATAAAAAACACTTTGGGGATGGCAGTGACGTTAGAAACCAGTCTGAGCCTCACAAAACCCTGCTCTTACAGACCCTCACAGAGCCCAGAGCTACCTACGCTGAACCAAACAGTGTAAATTAACCCAAAAGCAGCAGTTTAGGAGGCAGTGTGGAAGGGGTGGAAWTGATGACACTTTTGCTAGAAGGAACAGAGCAAATCTCTTTGCATGAACATTTTGTACCATACTTGAGTATGGTGTGGCCCTTTGGGACTGGGCTCGTGCAGGATATTCATACAGCACAAGCATTGATGGCTTTCAAATGAGAATTGTCCCTGGTGCCAGCTCCTGATGGCAGCAAAGGGAAACCCAGGTGGACATCCTGTGTTACCAGGACTGGGCACTTCCCTTGGCCAAGAGGCACAATGTCTTGCATCTTGTTTCTCTTCTCACTGCATRTGAACTCTGCTCAGGGAATGCTCAGAATGCTAGGAGAGTGTTTGCACCATAAATGGTTACTCAGATTTAAATACTGTGTCTACTTCGTAACAAGGAGTCCTACCATAGACAGAACACTGAAACACTAAAAAGGCAGGGTGGAGGGAAGGGCATTTATCAACAGAGCTGACAAAAGCTGGTGATGCTCTGAGATCTCATTTTAGCTGCAGAGAGCAGCATGAGACACAGAGGGTGGCCACACACTGTGCAATACTTGGGGCTCTAGGCAGCAAATCAGGGCACCACGGAAAGAGAAACAGGACTGAGACTTGCAGCCCATCTTCTCCAGCTTCTCAGCTGCATCCAGGGTGGCATCTTTGGCAGGTGGAGCCATTCTGTGGAAAACTGGAAAAGGCTGCCCTGGCAAAAGGTTGAGTCACCATCCCTAAAAGGATTTAAAAGACGTGTAGAAGTGGCACTGAGGGATATGGGTTAGTGATGGAATTGGAAGTACTGGGTTAGTAGTTGGACTTGATGATCATAAAAGTCTCTTTCAACTTTAACGATTTTATGATTCTATGATCATGACCTGCGGAAAACCCCATGTTTATGGCTTTCCACYAGAAAAATGTTCTGCTTGTCTGCTTCCGCGCTGTATAAAAAACCAAAAGAAGTGACAGCTATGCCCCCTCCTTCCCTTCCACAAAGCTTTCCCTTCCATATGAGACACGTTACCTTCTGAAGTGGGTCCTAATGCGTCAATTGCTTCTTGTGAGGCTTGAGGCAGGGCAGCAGTGGTGGTGGCCAGCAGATGGGGATTGTCTGGAGCAACAGCTGCCTCCGTCTCTCGTCCTGACACCGCAGGAGGGGAAGGTTCTATTTCAAGCTGAGCCTCTTCAGGGCTCCTGAGCCCCTGTGTYGCTTCAACATCTGGAGTCCTGGTGCTAATTACAACGTCTGGGACAGAGGTTTCCCCTGAAATGCTTGCGATTGAGTGTGTCACAGCCCCAGATGTTGCGTCAGGAATCTCCCTCTCCTCCTGAGTACCAAAAGGCTCCCCACTGGACAAAGATGTGGCAGCTGTTTGGATGTCAGCAGCAGGCAAAGCAGATGGTTCCCCACTGGTTTCGTGGACTGTGGATGCTTCTATGGTGATCTCAGGAAATRTTTCACCTCGGGCTTCTTGACTTGTGGGTGTTCCTGTTCTAATTTCAGGGAACGCAGAGGTTTCCCCACTTAATTCTTGAACCGTGGATGTTTCTATGAAAATTTCAGGATAGGCAGATGTTTCACCCCTGGCTTCTTGACCTGTTGGTGTTTCTATGCTAAACTCAGAGAACSCAGATGTCTCCCCACTGACATCATGGACTGTAGAAGTTTCTATTCTGATTTCAGGAAATGCAGGTATTTCACCACTAGTTTCATGGACTGTCGAAGTTTCTATGCTAATTTCAGGAAAGGAAGACATGTCCCCACTGATTTCATGGACCGTCGAAGTTTCTATGCTGATTTCTGGGTAGGCAGATGTTTCACCCCTGGCCTCTTGATTTGTGTACGTTTCTATTCTAATTTCAGGAAATGCAGAACTTTCTCCACTAATGTCATGCACTGTGGAAGCTTCTATGCTGATTTCAGGAAAGGCAGATGTTTCTCCACTGGTTTCRTGGACCGTCGAAGTTTCTATGGTGATTTCAGGATAGCCAGATATTTCACCCCTGGCCTCTTGACTTGTGAAAGTTTCTATTCTAATTTCAGGAAATGCAGACGTTTCCCCACTGATGTCTTGACTTGTGGATGTTTCTATTCTAATTTCAGGAAATGCAGATGTTTCCCCACTGATGTCTTGACTCGTGGATGTTTCTATTCTAATTTCAGGAAATGCAGATGTTTCCCCACTGATGTCCTGTATTGTGGACGTTTCTGTGCTACTTTCAGGAAATGCAGAGGTTTCCCCACTTCCTTCTTGACCTGTTGATGCTTCTATGATAATTTCAGGATAGCCAGATGTTTCACCCCTGGCTTCCTGACTTGTGAAAACTTCAGGAAATGCAGAGGTTTCCCCACTGATTTCTTGAATTGTTGATGTTTCTGTGTTAAATTCGGGAAATGCAGATGTCTCCCCGCTGATTTCATGAATCGTGGATGTTTCTGTACCAGTTTCTGGAAATGCAGAYGTTTCACCGCTGATTTCATAAGCTGTTGACGTTTCTAGAGCACCTTCTGGCAGTGCAGATGTTTCCCCACTTAGCTCACCAGATGCAGAGGCTTCACCACTTGGCCCCAAACTGTAGGGAAATGTGACGGTTTTCCCACCCAGTTCCTGTGATACCGTTGGTCTTGTCACCACTTCTAGTAAATCAGAAGTGACTAAAGTGACTTCTGGAAGCCCTGAGAYGTCCCCGCTAATATCAGTCACTGCTGAAGACTGTCCACTCAGATCTGTGGCTCCAGAAAAGTCTCCACTGATGTATGGGATTCCAGAGGGCTCTCCACTCAGGTCTCCTGCCCCTGAAGAAAACCCACTAGTCTCCACAGCTCCAGACCCTTCTCCAGATAGTCCTCTGTCTCCAGAAGTAAATCCGCTGATTTCTATCATCCCAGATGGTCCTTCTCCCACTTCTTGTGCCACTGACGTCKGTGTTACAACTTCCACCAGAGTGGTATCCACAAGAGAGACGGTGGGAAAGCCAGAGGTGAGTCCACTTTCCTCTCCAGACAGCAGACCACTGGTGACATCAACTGCAGAGCCGTCTCCRCTGCTGTCGGTCACTCCACTGGGATATCCACTCATCTCCAGCACTCCAGAAACACTCCCACCAAAGTCTACATGCCCAGAAGTCTCACCACTGATGTCCAAACTCCCAGACACCATGCCTGATGCGTCTTCACCTCCCGAAGGCAATCCACTGATTTCCAAAGTCTCTTTTGCTTCTGCTCCTGTGGTTGGGGGGGTTGTTGTCACTTCCTCCAAAGTGGAATCCACAAAGGTGATGCCRGAGGCCTCGCTGCTTCCATCAATACCTGAGGAAAGGCCACTAAGGTCCAGCAGRCCACTGGTCTCATGTGCTCCAGAGGTTTCTCCGCTGGAGAACCCGCTAAGCTCAGAGCYTCCCGAGGGCAGCCCGCTGAGCTCGGGCACCCCAGAGTGCTCCCCGCTGGRCTCAGCTCCCGAGGGCAAGCCTTGGATTCCCCCGCTGCTGTCCCACTCAGAGGATGGGAACCCGGACAGGTCGCCCTCACCGCTGACCCCGATGGACCCTATTCCCTCCTCTCGCCATTGTGGCACTGTTGTCACAACTTCCACCAGTGTGGTATCCACGAGGGAGACGGTYGGAAAACCAGAGGAGAGCCCGCTTTCCTCTCCAGATGCTACGCCACTGACCAGCTCAGTGCCAGAGATTTCTCCGCTCGCTCCGAAAGGCAGCCCGCTGCTCTCCACTTGAGGGGGCATCCCACTGATTTCTGGTACCCTCGAAACAGACACCGATATCTCCTCCTCTGCAGAAGGCAGGCCGCTGGTATCAACACCACTCAGGTCTCCTGAGGGCAGCCCACTTTCTCCAGGTGGGAAGCCWCTGGCGTGCAGGTCTACCGATGGCAATCCGCTCTCTCCAATCCCTGAGTGCTCTCCACTAAGTTCAAAAACTCCAGAAGTTGCTTCTCCGCTGGTATCTGGGACTCCAGATACCCACCCAGATGTTGAAGATTCACCACTGACTTGATGCTCTCCAGATTTAGTCACCTCCCCTGGCACTTCGCTGATGGAAGCATTGGTACACGCTTCCTCTGGAATTATGGTAGCTGGAGGAAAAGCAGATGGACTCACTGCAAAAGAAAAACCAAACAAAGAGAAGGAGTTGGGAAAGTTATTTGTATTTTGGGAGTGTCCCAACCGTACACCACCAGCCCAGCATGACCCAGGCTACAAGAACGCTCTGAACCCACCTGAGAGCAGCGACACATCGGTTGGAAAGACCTCTGTCCCCCAGGCTGTCTGATTCTCAGGCTGAGTGGCAGACTCTGTGTCCACTGTCACCTCCTCTCCAGAGGGCACCCCTTCCACTCCAGGGATCACTTGTGTTGCCAGCACATCCTCAGAGAACGGGGTGACCCCCTCCTCCTCCACGGCAGGCAGAGCTGGAACAAAAAACCATTGAAGTGAGTGCACAAAAACTCACAATCCAAGCTGCCATCGAGGTGCCTCACCCAAACCAGGATTTTGAAATCCCCTTCCCTTTGGAGACAGCCTCCTGTGCTCTGGCAGCGTACCCCTGAAGCAGAAGGCGTGGTGCCGGGACAGCGGCTCGGGGAAGCCGGTCTGGTTGTGGTGCTGGTACAAGGTCCTGACGCCCGGCGCATCCCCGCCGCACGCGGGCCGGGGGCTGACGATGGGGTAGCGCAGGCTGCCGTCSGCCAGCCAGCCCGCGTAGCACCGGTCCAGACCCTGCTTCCAGGCGGCGTGCAGCTGGCCCACCGAGGCCAGCGTGGCGTTCTGGCTCTCGCAGTACCGCTGGGCTTCGGGGAACGTGAACTGCTCCGGCTGGGTGGCGAAGAACACRTCGCCTGAAGGGTGGGAGGGAGAACACGGGTGAATCCCTGCATCCCAAATAGGCACACACACACAGCTGGAGGTGTGGAGCGCATTTTTGCCTCCCAGGGGAAGGGGGAGGACGTACCCTTGAGCCTGTCGATGTAGCAGTACACATCATAGGTCTCYGAGGCCGGGCGCATGCCATACGACCGCACGCCCGGAGTGTTCTCCTTGTCTCCCACGCAGTTATTTCGGGGATTCACAATGGGATACCTGCCAAAAAATGAAGACAGGAGGTAASCCAAGGTCAAGCTCATGACTGAAGGAACCTCAATGTGCTTGGAAGCAGGAGGTGAACTCTTCACTGTTGGAGGTGCTCAGAGTGTGACTTGGAGACAAGTCCACTTSTGGCTTAAGGCAATGAATACAAATTTCCTGCTCCTCTTCCTACACACCGGGAGGACTCACTGATGCAAGATGCATACACAGGTTAGGAAATGAARAAAAGAAATGGACAAGAACATGTCTATTGGCCGCTGAATATCATGGAGACAGCCTTGGCTCAGCAAAGCTTTAGATGCCGATGAGGAGAGCAGTAGGACAGACCAGAGCAAAGCCTCAATTTWGTGGTGTCTGCCCCAAGTCAGTGTGACTTTACCTGACTGTCTGGTCCCGCAGCCAGCCAGCATCACACTGGTCGAAGCCAGCCTCGTAGGCAGCCTGCAGCTGCTGGGGGGTGGCGATGACAGCGCTGTTCTCCAGGCAGGCCTGCTGCGCCTGGACAAAGGTGAAGGCATATCTGCTGCTGGCTGCACGGTAGTGAAACACCACACCTGGGGGAGASAAGCTGTGTGAGACAGCAGGAACRGGATCCGAAACGGTCTTTCAAAAARCAGTGCAAGGACAGGCCCTCTCAAATTCACCTTTGATGGAAAYGCCTCATTCACGGAGCTCTGCTGTCGCTGAGGGTGATGTTCTGGGGATCTCTTTAGCCCTCCTCTAAGGCCTTTTTGCCTTGACTGCCCCTTTTTTGGAGTCAGATGCATATTGGAGAGCAGAGTGTGACCACGCATCAGCCAGCACACGATGGGATGGCCCACAGCCTCCTCCTCTCCCCTCCTGCCCTGCTGTGCTGGAGCCTGTCCCTGACCCCAGCCCCAGGGACCTGGATACCCTCTTGGGCTGTTTCAGCAGAATGGTCACCTCTAGAATGAGCTGACCTTCACGCTTCTCAGAGTCCTGGTCACTCACCTGTGGGGGAGATGGGCTGCTCGGGGAGGTGACCGGCAGGAGGGGCAGCTGTCACTCGCACAAGCTGATCTTCCACCGTGAACGCCGAGGCAGACTCCGGTCCTGCTGTGGCAGTCAGGACCTCTTCCASCGAGCTCACCTCCGCTGTTCCAGCAGTGACAGCAGTGCCCAGGGCGATGGTGGTGATGGCAGTGCCTAGGTCTGTGGTGGTGGCCTCTTGAGGCACAGTCCACGGCGCTGTCACATCCTCCCTGGTGGCATTTTCCTCCTCTGTGGCTGCTGTCTCTGCTGTGCCAGCGGTGCTGAAGAGGTCGGGCAGGGCAGTGAAGCTCTGGTCCAGCCCGGTGGCCGTGGGGGTGATCTCCATGGGCTCCAGGGTGGCGATGCTGCCGCGGACCTCCTCCTCCGTGGCATTGCGGGACAGGGGCAGCTCCACCTCGGTCTGGGTGACGGTCTGGACGGTGAAAGCGCTGCCCAGCTCGCTCCCCAGCTCGTCGATGTACTGCCCTGGCACCAGGCTCTCAGTGCCATCCTCTGCATCAGGACACAAAGCAGCAATCAGAGAGGATAATGTCAGCCTGACAGGTGAACTGCACCGGGCTGCCTCCAAAAAGAAGCTGGCTCTGAGAGGATTARGGAAATCACGACAGTTTGGTAAAAAGAAAAATAATGGTTTTCCTTCCTCCGTTGTGATTCTCTACAATGCCTCAGCACGGAGGGCATGGTGACGGGGCACCGAGSCACCTCAGGCTCCAAATCTGGGTGATCAGGGACATTCCCTGCTCTCCTGCCAGCTCTCCTTTTCGGGAACACCTCGCCCATATCCAGGTCTGCACTGACCTCTAGTGCCTGCCGCAAGGAAGTTGAGGTGGACGGAGGGGAGTCGGGGAGCTTGGAAAAGCTGCACGGCAGATCTGTCTGAACCGTGGAGGAAAGACAACTGGATCCTCACACTCAGTGCGTGAAGCCTCACCAGGATCTCGACCTCCTTCTGCTCTGCCCAGGTGATTTTAGAGCTCATCCCCTATAAGCWTCCTAACCCCACTGCCAGGACAGCCCAGGCCACTTGTTATAGCAAATACAARCAGCTCCCACCTTTCCCCTCCCAAATCACTTTCCTGCTCAAGTCACATCCCTTGGGTTTAGGAGAACGTGCTTAACATGCCACTGAGCAGCTCAGCTGATGATAGGGATGGTGGTTTACAAAAAAAAGCATGAAACAGAGCTGTGAGGGCTGGTAAGGGAAGGATGGRTCACCTCCTGGACATGCAGCAAGGCACGTCTTGGCTGGGAAGAGAAGAACTATGAGACAATGCCTGGCTTTTCCTCTAGTACTGCTTTCCTTGCTCTATGTCCAGTTCCATTTTACTGCTAGTTCATTTCAGCCAGTATCTCTCCGATCTCAAGGGATTCAGAGACCTCTATAAAGATGCTCAGACAAGGACTGACCATATGCAGCAGTTTCAGCTGCAAAYCCTGAGATCACCAGAGGGCTGTGGCTTGATGGACCAGTCTTTAGCTTGGCCACATAACTGGGTACCTTCAGGGGTCTGGGAGATGTATCTGGGCACAACAGGTCTGATCAGGAGGGTTTCAACATATATTCTAAAATATTGTAATTTTTTTAAACATGGCAATCCTATTTGAATGCTGGCCTCTGGTTGCCCTGAATAGAGCATATCCCACTGTTTCCCCCTCTTCTTGCTGCAGGCAGAAGTGTGCAGTTAGAAGAAAGGGGGAGTAGCTGGGTTGCTCTTCACTTCCCAGGTGCAATTTTGATCCACGATTCCCAGAGACTGCGTCAGTCTCAGATTTATCCCAGCATGGAAACTCAGTCACGCGTCTGTACCACATCACATCGCATCACTACACACATCTTCAGGGTCACACCGGTTCTCTTTCTCCTTCACTTCCTTCTCCAGCATTCAGAGCCTGGCATATGAAGCACCTGAGCTCTGCTTTGTGTCTCCAGGAGAGCTATGAAAGCAGGAAGGTGTGGGAGGACTGGAGAGAAGCGGGCTGTGTTACACCCACCTCTGCAGAGCTCCCCAYGAGCAGGCCAAGCAGCTTTCTGCACCTGAACACAAGCAGAGGACTTAATCCTCTACCAAACCTTCCTTCTCCCCTCTTTTAAAAAAAAAAAAAACCAAAAAACAAACAAAACAAAACAAAGAAGCAGGAGTTTGTCTGTGGCCAGGCCGGTGTGCAGAGCCTGCTCCCACTGCCCGAGCACTCACCGCTGTAGCAGATGGCGTCGTAGCGGGAGTCGGGGTGGGGGTACCCGGTCTGGTTGATGTACAGGTACACCGTCCTGACCCCCACCAGGTTGCCCCCGCAGTTGGGCCGTGCTCTGGAGATGGGGTAGCGCACGCTGCGGTCGGCCAGCCAGCCCGCGCTGCACATGTCCATGCCGTCCTTCCAGGCCAGGTACAGCTCCCCWGTGGTGGCCAAACGCGCTCCCAGGCTGCGGCACTTGTCAAAAGCTTCTTGGAAGGTGAACTTCTCCGGGTCAGTGGCGTAGAAGACTTTGCCTGCAATCACACCATTCATTAGCACCGGAATTACCTGTAGAATTTAATCCCAATTCCCTTTATATCCCCTGAGATGGAAAGGGAATCGAAATAGAAATAAAAATAGAAATAGATAGAAGGTCTATCCTGAAAGTTTGGTTGAGATGAAGAATCCTGTGTGTTAGAGCTGAAATGCAACTTCGTGTCAATGACTTTATAAAGACCAGAAGACAATAACTCTTACAGACTGGAGCAAAACACATCAAATCAGCTGCAGGGACAGGGCAAGAGGGACATAAAGGACAATTGCAGTCCAGTTGTGCTGAATATTTCAATGGATCCCTGTCATGAGCATGAGTGATTGACACCTCTGAATGTCCGACTCCAATAGCTGACCAGGCAGGAYGGCGTGGACTCTGGTGGAGGTTAGACGGACTCCACCCTCTGCACTGCATTAGTCATTTGACATTAAAATTGTCCAAGGTCTAATAAAAGACTGTCGAGTACATCTGGCCTGGCTGGGGTATGTGATTTTTCAGCTTTAACCTGTCTTTTCTCTAGGCCCTKTGCCTCTGTGTTTGCTGTTGTCCAGTCTAGGCATGGTCAGGGCTTTGGCTGCTTCTGCCTCTGGTAAGAATAAAAACCCCAAATCACCTTGCATTTGCTCTGCATAGCAGTAAACATCGTAGGTTTCATCTGGCTCACGGACACCGTAGGTCCTCACTCCTGGGAATTCATCCTTGTCGCCATAGCAGCGCTCCCGGGGCCAGTGGATGGGGTACCTGAGGGAGASATTGTGGATGAGGAGTGGGGCAGGACCCTGGCAGCCCCAGGAGGCTGGGAGGGAGCTGTGGAGCACTGCCCAGTGTGTGATTTATGGCTTTTCCCAGGTTATGGGGAAGGGGAAGGATGATCTGCTGTCCTGCCGTCCCTCTGATGCTCTTTGGAGCACTGACCAAAAAACATCAGGACAAAGTGCCTCCACAGTGGGGCGTTCACAGCTTGGTCTGGTTGAGCCACATTTGTGCATCGTGGCACACCACCTGTTTTGTTCAGGGAAGATGAAGGATCAGGATGAAGCCATTTTCCACTCAGTTGTCACCACTAGCTGAGGAGCACAGTGGTCACTCTGCTCTCAGTCCACCCTCTGCACACCAGCAGTTACTGATGTTTGGCAACCATTTTCAGTCGGTGGCTTCATCACAGAAACCACCTTCCCCAACGACCCTGCAGTGGCTCTCCTTTGCCCTGCATGGCTGCTCACCTGACAGTCTGATCAGCCAGCCAGCCAGCATCACACTGCTCGTACCCATCCTCGTAGGCAGCCTGCAGCTGCTCRGGGGTAGCAATGACAGCACTGTTCTGGATACAGGCCTGCTTTGCCTTCTCGAAGTTCAGGGTGTACCTTGTGGAGATTGCTCTGTAGTGGAATACGATGCCTGGAAAAGACATTGGCCATCACACAATCACCAGCCCCTTAACTTCCAGAGGTGGCACAAGAAAAAGCCAAAAATAAACCTCGTCCTATACAGTCCTGCAGTGGAAGCTGTCTCCCTTTCTTACCCAGAAAGMAAAAGCCACAAAAAAAGAGAAGGATTGTACAAAACTTTTGTTATTTTATCCACCTATTACTAGAACAGGCTTTGCAATAAGGCAATGGAAGTTTTTCCAGAGCAGCCCAATTCTCCAGATGAGGGCATCCCATCTCCTAAAATGTTTGGAAAAATTTAAAGGTCTGATAAGGGCCCTGTTCCAGCTTCACCCGCTTAAGTAATAACCCAGTGTAKCCAGTGCCACCTCCTGCCAAGGATGCCGTCTTGCTGTCTCTGTTATTCACCTTCTGCCAGAGGAGTCATTTTCTTCCCATATTCTGCTATGAGTAATTTTACTGGTTTGTTTAGTCTGGTTTTAGTCTGCTAAAATAAATGCTTGGCCAGTGGCTTCTGCTCCCCCACCCATCACCTTATCTGTGACCTGGGAGAAATGGCTGATCCCTACAGGGAGAGCAGCTCCTTCTCCACCCATGTACCTCTTTCTCCCTTCTGCCCAGGCCAGCAAGATCCTGAGAGAAAAGAGCAAGGGCAGAACCCCACCTTTCACTAGGACCTCTATGGTGTCTTKTCTGTCCTCGATGCCGTACATCACTTCACAGCGGTAAATGCCGGTGTGGTTGGATCTCAGCGCCTTGATCTCCAGCGTGGCGTCCGTGGGGATGGCGGGGTAGTTGGGCAAGGAGATCACCTCCCTGTAGTCGCCGTTGAGCCGGATCTTCCCGCCCGTGGCCACCAGCAGGACCACCTCGGTGCCGTTGGAGAGCTTGCTCCATTTGATCCGTGGGGTCAGCATGAGGCTGGTGTCCTGCTCCTCYGGGATGTTGAAGTAGCACGGGATGTTCAGGGAGCTTCCCAGGATAACACGCAGGGGAGACTGCTCAGGTATCTTGACTTCCAGGCCATCACTACCGTCTGCTGGTTCATCAACAAAGCAATGGTTACATCAGTAACACAAAAGTACAAAATATTCATATGATCYAGCGCCCATATCTGCTGTGCAAACCTGTACCCACATGTTCAGACAGAACCTTTTGGTCTAGTCTAGAAAGGGAAGTCGTGACAATGACCTCTGCAGTGTGGCTGCTTTTGGGATTTGGGCCAGTGCTGGGTATGGGAATGAAGGGAACGAGGGGCTCCACTGCAGCACAGCTCTGCCCACCCTACRAGATAACACCTGGGCGTGTTTCAAAAGGGAAATGCTGAAATTCTCTCAGTTTCCCCACAAATCTGCCTTTGCCTGCAGCTGTCTCCYTGGCTTCCCAAACACAAGAGCAGTGAGAGGCTGTGGCTCAGCAGCCATCCCAACAGAGGAGTCTTGTGTGTGCACAGCACAGATTTTGGGGGCTGTCTGTCCTTGGGGATGGGGCCAGAGTGCAGCACACGGCTCAGTCCTGCTTTCCCAAGCCCTGCACACRTACCTGAGAGCTCCACAGAGTCGGCTGCGGTGATGACTTGCAAACACACAAACACTAATAGTAAAGTGGTCATAATTTACCTGCAAGAAACAACACAGGGAGAAAGGATTTGTGTATATTCACGGGGAGCTGAGTGCTTTGGGTGCTGCTGTGRGGCAGTGAAATGCTTTCAGATGCCCCTTAAACCTCCTACATTCCTCACATCAGCAGTCAAAGCCTGTCCCTGGGGAAGGATTCTGCCTCAAAGTGCTGCTTCAAGAAATCAGTCCATGGKGCAAATAAATAAGATGCTCTGCTATGTACAACAGTCTGAAATGKTATTATACAACACTTATTATATTTCTTTCTCACACTCTCTCTTGTCATTCAGTCTTACCTGTGGAGCAGAATGGCAATTTTACAACAGGTCTTCACACACCTACTATGTATTTACTCAGAGGGACCATTGCATCCTCTAAGTTTTTGTCTTTGAACAGGAGCTGTCCCTCACTGGGCATCACCACCRAAGCCAGCACTGGCTCTCAGGCCAGATGGCTGAAAGCATTTTCTATTCCTTAAAATGTTCTGAAGGAAAATTTGCCCTTTGCGTGGTGGAAAAGTCAAATGTTACAACTCTTTGATGCAATACTCCTGCACTGAGAGTCAGCATATCCTCCAGTGCAAATGGATCCAGAACTGATACAGGATACAATTTTARGCTTCTTAAATCCACCCTAAAATATCTTCTTGGGATCCCTTTATTAGTCAGAGCAACCTGCTTCTTCTGAAGGCTTCAGGAAAAGGAAGGAGCATCCTGGTGACATTGAGTGACAGAAGCAATATAGGGAGGCCAGCTAATTAAATCCTAACTGGATTACCATCCACTATAATATCATGGCATATTAAATTGCCACAAAGACTCAAGTTGGTTTCAATATTTCAAATAAAAACCAGGTCCTCTGGCAACCCAGCACAGTTTGGCATCACATTTGAGCCCCGACTCAGAAGGAAGGACCACAACCTGCTGAATCACTGGTGTTTCCTTTGAGGTTCAGATATTGGTTGTTTCATTCCCATGATCTAGAAAGATTCCAGGTGACTTCAGCTGACAGGTAACATTCTGGGTATATGCCTACTAGCCTTGTAGAAAACTCCATTATATACCCTCACTGGCACAAGAAAAGGCCAAAAATGAACCCCATCCTGTACAGTTCAGCACTAACCTTTCACTTMTGAAAACCTGACCTCCACGCACTCATTCATTTGAACCTGACACACCACAAAACYTTATCTTTAGTGAATAGAGACAGCTCTGCTGGCAGAAAATAGGACAGAACAGGGATGGAACACATTGGCAGAGGAGTGTGGAGGCTTCAGTTTGCAGCGACAGGACTGAACAACAACAAACGGAGATATCCCATTTTCTACCGTGCATAGGAATAAAATGTCAGGTAAGTGCTAACCTCAGGCAGAACTCTGGGAGCTGTAGATGTGTTTGGGTGTCTCTCTGCTTAGGGCTGATGCCTGCACAAAYAATGCATTACGAAGCTCTTGTGCAGATGACAGCTGACCTCACCATTYCCCTGCAGGGATGGGCAGTGGGGAGCTGACACTCCAATGAATGAGAGGCCAAAGGGTCTGGGTCAGTGGGAGGGGGCTGTGCCCACAGGGTGGGGGGCAGTGAATGCCTTCTGCTCCWCAGTAAAGCAGGGAGAACTGGAAACAGCATCTGCTGCTGACAAACAGCCTGRAGTCAGCTTGGCCAAAGCGCCGTASCCAGGAGCCCTGAATGAGCTGGCTGAGTGAGCTGATGGCCACTGATGYTCCTTCAGAATCCTGCAGAGCTGGGGCAGCTCCCAACAACTGAARCACTGCRTCCAAAATCAGCCAAGATACACAATGATGAGCCTCAGAAATACGTGCTAGTTTGATTGACATAAATTCAGGGCAAAATAATGGAAAATCTGATACAGGGTTCAGTTCATTAAGCACTGAAGAATAGAWGTAATACTAATCTTAGTTAAGGCACTTGTGTATAAAAACAGGTGCTTCCAACCTTTTATTGTTTGGCATGATTCTAAGCTTGTCTGATAAAGCTGCCTGCGTGGCTGCAACACAGTGTAATTAGATTTTGATAAGGTTTGCATTTTTCAGGGTTCTGTGATATGAAGAYGTGTAATGCCAGCAGTAAATCCATTAAAATGGCTTGGCAGAAACCAGGCTAGAGGGTCTCTAATGGGATCCATCTGAARTATTCCTAATAGGCATCTACAGGGGTCAGCATTAGATCCAATGGGTTTCCAAACAGACTGTACTTTAATAGAATCAAATATAAAATTGTACAAGAGATGCATGTCTGACTATGGGATGTTGAAAGAAGTCACTCAGGAGAACTACTGCTATTATCCAACATCAAACCAAACAGGAATTCCTCTCTGTGCATTAAACAATGGGAATACTTGGCAAATCTCTGCTCATGAAGATATCAGAAAAAGGTGGTGAAGAAATATCCACTAGCAAGGATCTGAGGGCTGGACAGAATGCTTTAGGGGGCAAGACTRGAAAGTAGGAAGTCTGAACCTAATTATTGCAACAAATAAAACAAACAAAAACAGAGAAGTTGACAACTGTGCATAAATACTGTTTCAATCAGAGGCTGCTGGTGCTGAGGGGGTCTTTATTCTAGCAGAAATTCATGATCAGAACTAATAGCTGGGAGACGCTGAGTAAACTCAAGTGGGAAACAAAGCACACATTCTCCACAGTGGGTGGTGCATCATTGAAGCTGGTACCAGAAGAAGCTATGGGCTTTCTATCAGGGTTGATCATGCAGGGCAGAAGGGATTTAAGTAGAGGACGCCCTCCTAACCATCACTATGATACCTGTTTGAGYATTAAATAAAAACTCTTACTTCTCCAGGCTGCTTAGATGAGGTACCTTGCACAGACACATTTTGCCAGAATCCAGGTAAGCTGAATAGCCCTGAGTGTCATGAGATAAACTGAGCCAAGAGAGGCAGGCAGCTTTAGACCTGGGTTACTTACTAAAGAATAGAAACATCCTAGAGCATGGAGACAGGTGTTTAAATATGGCAGGAGTTGGCTGGCTGGATAATTTCTTATAGGGCCTGTGGCTGCAGCAAGCTGGTGTTGTTCTGAGTTGGTATTTCTGGTTACATCAGTGGCAGATAGGAGGAGAGCAGTTTTATTTGTGCATCAGGTAGACATCACAGAACACAATGCCCTAAACAGAAGAAATCTCCTTTATCCCAAAAGCTAAGACAAGCTCATGTACTCCTAGCCTTATTCAAGCTTTATGCTGATCTTCTGCAAGGAAAAACAGCCTCATATGACAACAGCTGGGACCAGCAGTGTCTTTGCAGTTTGGTTTAGCTATGGAGAAAAAAACCCAACCTCCTCTTACCCCACAGAAGCCCAGAGGAAAAGGATTTTCCTTGTGAGCAGCGGTTAACAAATCAGAATAACAATGTTTTGGGTGTATTCCGCGAAAGTGTTGAGTCCCTGCCAGTAAGAAACCAAACCTACTCCTCAGGGTGCTGTTTGCAATGTTGATCTTCATTTTTCATTCCCCTGAAGCATGCCAAAGAGATCCAGCCCCGAGTCTGTACAGAGCTCTGGTTGGGATTCGCTGCTCTGGGAATGCCTTTGATTAACGTCCTGTTGTTACTGCAATAGTTCTGTGCTGCAACACTTCCACTCTGTGTTGTCTCCAGGCACATGTCAATGAGCAAACAGCTGCTTGAAGGAGCAGTTCTGGTAGCAAATGAGTGAGGAGGGAGGTCTGTGTGAGCAGCCGTGGACAGCACGGGTGATGGAGGGCTGGTCTGTCTCACAAGGGAACAGGGGAGGTTGTTCTTGTTATTCTAGAACATCATGGACAAGGA